TAATTACTGGAGTTATTACCCTTGGTTTCATTAATGCGATGCATGCGTTCCATGATGTTGTATTGCACTCATTGATCTACCAGTTATGTTGAATGATTTCTCTTTTAATATCAATTACTCACAAATACTTCATATATTTCAATCATACAAACAACTGCTCATTCAATGTGTGACGGGCGTATTATATACCGCTCGCGGTAACCTTGTTGTGAAATGCAATCAATACAAGTGTCATAATTAAAAATTCTTTCAAATGTCTTTAATGGTTTATTATATATACATGTTGACATCCTCCGATAGTCATAAATATTCATAGCTGTAACCTCGCCTCAGGATGACACATTTACATATTAAGTGAAATTTCAGGGAGCATAGTCACTGCTTTGTCGTCCGTCTGAATTGTTTGTCCTGGCCGTAACTACTGACTCCCTGTAGATGGCTAAATGATATTTTTGGGATTTATGTAGAATGGCAGGGCAAACCAATATTAACTTTGGTCCCTACGACCAAGGTCCCATGTAGGTCAAAGATCAAATTAATTAATCGGGGCATAACTTCTGACTGGCTTAAGATAGCTCCTTGAAATTTTAGGGCTAAATGTAGGGTTGCAAGGTGATGTCGCAAACCAAAATTATGATTGTATACTCAATGTCAAGGTCATATTGCATTCAAAGTCCACTGTAGGGTGGAATCATGTGTTATAAACACATTGGGGTTTGTACGCCCAAGGTCCAGGTCAAACTGAGGGCACATCTTATTTCAGTCTTGGTGACATTTTTAGGGAGCATCATCCAGCAGCTTTACTGATTTTCTTGTTTTAAATTTCTTTGAAAAAATATTTTTATGACGTTGAAATTACTTAACTGATGGATGGTTTGTGTTCTTGTATCAACAGGGACCCCCAAGGGATGGAGGTCAGGGAGGGGAGATGTCTATTGCACCAGGAACAGCTTCATCGGCGAGGAACTGACCTACGACAATGAAGTGTGTCTAGTATGTTGATGGTGCCTGCATACTATACACCTTGAGAGACTTTCAGCAACTGTGATACAAGGATCCAGTTAAAGTGCGCGATCAGCGAGAGTGTAGTCCTAGCCAGCTCGCAACACCAGCATACAGCAGCAACAGAATTTATTGTAAAACCACACAACATATAAACAGTCCTGGAACCCAGGAGGCGACGTCACTTCGTCCTCTGCTGTTACCTTTCCACAGTTTTGTGATATGTTTTTATGTTGAACAATCTGCTAAAAATGTGATACGAAATTTCCTCAGAATTCAAAATTCCAACCCCACCATTGATTTCACAGAATCGCAGGTGATGTTATGACGATTTTCAACTGTTTACTATAGCCAGATATCAAAATATCTGACCAAGCTACAGACAGAGAGTGAAAGTCATGATCAGACAGTCAATTCCTATCACATTACTCTGGGAGAATAAGTGTATTTGTGTGAACAACGGGTCGGACAGTAAATGTGGCCTGTTTCATTACTGGGCTCAGAGTTAGGCCGAGTTTGACAGTTACAATGTCGGTGTACACTCTAGACAGGTATATCATCGACGAGGTTCTGGGGTAGAGCCCGGCTCTACAGACTTCATAGTGCTATTTACCCTGATTTGTAGTGGAATGAGGAACGGTGACTGACAGTATGCTTTGTGAGCAGTATGTCTTTATTTTATGCAAGTATACTGAAACCATCATTTACTCTCAATATGCTTCTTGTATGTCGACTGATCGAGGTGTATGGAAAGTGAGATTACAATTCGTACATATGTACATGCTGGCTTTACTCTGTGATTTATATTACCTAAAAGATTCAATATTTTTTAATGAACGAATGGTGATTTCAGATGTGTCAGTATGTGGAATAAGTGCTTTGATATTGAAAATATCCAGTTTTCATTGGAGTATTTTGTCTTTAAGTTTACAAATATGAAAAGATTCTGTTGAAGGTTTTAAGTTATCCGACACCTGTACTTGTAGAATGCTTTACAATTTCCACGAATATTGTGTTATACCTCTGCCTCCGTTATTTATTACATCATCACCTCAAAACAGGATGAATAAATGTTCCTATATAGTTTGTTCAGGACATTTTCTTGTACCATACCTAACTTAAAAAATGTAAATTGTTATACATCTAATTTATTATGATCATCCATCTGGTTGATGGTCCTGTCAATAATATCGGTGTCATTGAATACTAAGTAACTATAGGTATCTTGATTTGAATGATAAATTATCAAATGGTGCTTGCCAAAAGATTACCACAGGTGTCAGAACAAGGGTAGATCACGATTTTGTTTATTCAAATATCATGAAAGACCAACGTAGGAAATTACAGAACAAAAATCAATAAAAATCTTACATTATCCGTCATTGAATAAAATATTCTGACTACTTATCAGGAGTGCAGGTAAAGATTTCGTAAGAAATTCAGGAAAGATTCTGAATCAATAGTAACTATTAAGAAATATTTAAGCAGTTATCATGACAATGTAGATTGCATGTTATATTGATTTAGAGTAGAAACAATTGTGTATATAAAGAGGAACATTGTTCAATATATTTTTCTCAGTTGCTTGTGTTAGATTATCAGTATCAGTACTGCTGATGTGATTTGATAAATAGCTCAATGCATTTACCGGTATGTGACTGCCATTGTGATCGTAATGTACAGCTAGATGTGAAAAGTATACCAGACAATCGGATATCTGTCATTGTGATGAAAACCCAACTCGTAGAGAAAAACCTACAGAACGGAAACTCTACAGGATGGAAAATATGTGAAGAATGTATGCCATGATACAGAATAAAAAGTAAATAAACTTTCATGTACCGTCTTGACAATGCGAGTTTATAATGCTTTTCTGATCTCTTTTGTCAACTTTCCATAAAAAAGCAACACAATTCACGTCATTGAAGATTTATATTGGTTCGTAGCGTTGTTCCGATCTCTATTGTCAACTCTGTGTGATTGAAGGTTAAGTTCGGTCCTGTTGAATGAGAATTTACATGTGTAGTGGTACATATAATGAATGATTTATTTGTCCAGGAACTCTAGCTATAATTACGTAAGAGGTCAATGCAGCAAATTTTTAACCAACTTAAGATAATGATTTTCATTTTGAAAGTTGCCTGCCGAATGCCACACTTTTTGTGTTGCATACTGTGAATTACATTTGTAAATTTATTTTGATGGGAAACGTTGTGAAATTATGTTGATGTAATAATATGAATATGTTACACACAACATGAGAAATTTTCAGTAACATTTAAGGAGAAAGTGATGAAAGACTAGAACCTATTACACATGTATGGAGGCATGGCATCTGTTGGTGACAAGACATGGATTTTTTCTCTAGGTTAACTCAGGATGCTAGTACTCGTACCAGTTATTAAACTAAGCACACTACTACTGTACTACTACTACTCTAAAACTTGGGGCATGTGGCAGTCGTAAAACTTAGTATGTTAATACATGCATCAGTTATACAATGTGCAGTGCCATTGGATTTCTAGAAATGTACAGCCCTGGGTCAAAATAATCTACTCGTTATGCCAGGACTTATTGTATAAGGACTGGTATATCTGAATATGAATATTTGGAAGACTAGGAGGGTGATAGGGATGCAGATATGTGAAAATTAATAATATTTCTTTTCAAGGAATTATGATCCAATTTGTACCTGTTTAGAAGGTTGCATTCTCATCATTTCCATTCCATTTGCTTTTCTAATGAATACAAATGGACGGACGAATGATATGTACCTGGGAATGTAAGACGTCCAGGATTTCTAACGGTCATGGACTATAATGATAAGTGAAGGTAACTGGTGTAAGAATGAGCATTGATTGAATAATGATAATAGCACAGCTTTGAATCCTCAGTCTACTTCAGCTGTGTACAGTATTTGACATTAAATGAATGTCCATGCTCTTTTCTAATTATATTGGCTTTTCTAATTTCACAATCTTGCAATGATGCAGTCCCTATATTTGTTGAAGTGTCATATACAAAATGTATTTTGTCCTGTTATAAACCAAATATTGTTAAGTGTAGGGATGATTATTTTTCAGTAGTCCTTTGTGTAGTAATTTCAAGATTTGTCAAACATGAAAAATTATATCATTATTTTCAGTAAAGAAATTCTATTATAAAGGCAATCGTGGAAAAGAGATAATTTTTTTGTGCATGCTGGAGTATAATAGATTATTGCACAACTTGAATTCACCTATAATTTGTATGGAAATTGAAGTTCAATGTCAGGATAAAGGCAAAATTTTCAGTTATGAAATTTCAATAGAAGTTACCTAGTAATTAGTTGTTTGAGCCTCACCATTATGATATATACTATCTGGAGCAGATAGGGTATTTGTTATGTTGAATACAGTTTAAGATTCTTTTGGGGAAACCACTTCAACAATGAGATATAGTTGTAGGTAATTAAAACCTTTTTTTCTTCTGATCAAGCCATTGCCTATCGAAATAGCTAGATTCATAATGAGTCTGGCCCATTTCCTGTCGTGTTGCACTTTGCTATTTGGTCACAAATATTTATCCAGGTAGTCTGCAGAAGGTTGTTTTTCAGAGCTTCAGCTTGGGTGAGTTGTTGTTTACTGTAACACTCTGTCAAGAGAGTCCATGAATGTCATGCCAACAGCATATGCTTCCTGAATAAGGAGTTGTACCACTGTTATCGTACCAACTTGGATCTAAACATTCTTACAGCATCTTGGTCAAGTCTTAAAAATTAATCTGTTCATAAATAAATGAAGTATTATTTTCATGATTGTTTGTGTGGTGTTTTAAAGGGATTACGCCCATTGCTTTTTAGCTCATCTGGCCGGAAGGGCCTGGTGATGTTTGCTGTGGTGTGGTATCCATCGTACGCCCAGCATCAACTTTTTCTGGCCAGTTACTTGCTGATGGTCAATATTCATCTCCCTTGGACCTCTTGTTATATAATATAATTTGAAGTTTGTAACAGATATCATTTATATTGGTAAACTTTTTATAGCATTCCAATCAAATTACCTATTGGCAAAATATGACCCTATACCTTATCAAACTTAAACAGATTTTTTTATGCTTTTTACCATAGCCAGTGTTGACTAAGCTGTGCTTAGAGTTAACCTCTGACCTTAATGCAAAATGTAAAAGAGGATTGCATGGCATTATTGTCCTTCGTCAATTACACTGTTAATTACATTGTAATTAACTGGTTGGGTGCTGATGGGTATGTCAACACAAGTGAAGGACAAATTCCTATGTGAAACGCATAAAAAACAAACAAGACAACAAAAATTTGCAATGCATAACTATATTTAATAATTAAATTAGAAAATAATTTTTTTTAAATTGAAATATTCATGTCATATAAAGTTATAACCAGTATAACAGTTTTTGGGGAAGACAAAAACACAATTTCTAAGAGTAACACAACTATTAAAGTTTAAACATCTGTAGAGTAAAGATGGCACAAGGCACAAAGACTTGTTTATCAAAAGCTAATGATTCTAACACAATCTTAATGAACATAGTATAAATGAGGCAGTTTATCCTTGACATTTGTTCATTGGCTGATGGTTCAGGTTTCACACCTCCAGTACAACAATTCAACCAATGGAATGAGTGCTTTTCCTGTAGCTGTTTTGGCAATAACTGAAAGACTTGTGCAACTTTTTGAATATACTAGTAACTCAAATTTAGCTGCTCGGGTTCACTTTTTGGTCCCTGAGGTAGTAGATATTGGAAGGACTTGGGTTTAAAGTTTTGAACTACAGTTTTAATTAATTCTAACCCACCTTACAGATCTCAAATACCTCATTTATCTGGAAGCCCCGTTTTTTGAACTTTTGCTATGTGTTCAGAATCGAGTATGTTGAAAACTGAACAGCGAGTTGATTTGGTAATGTGTTATTTTCATGCTCAGAGCAGGAAAGTGGAAAAAGCACACTGTTGAATAGAGGTCAAGTCAAAAGTAGTGAAACGTGAAACTTACCCTTTACACAATACCCTGCTTCGTCATTTTTGTTGTTGTCTTAACAACTTTGCTGTAAGAATGTATGAATTCATCATTCGAACTGATGAGGAAACAATCAGGGTTATGAACGTCCTGTCTAGTAGGTAACGGTTGGATCAGCTTTATAATTTCCTGCTGACCTAAGGTTTTTCCATCAGAAGCATTAAGCTTCAAATGTATTAGAAGTTGAATTTTTATATTAATATAAAACTTGTGCAAGAAAAATACAGAAATTCTCTGGTTCTATACATTGTGCAAAAGAATGAAATGTAGTGGTTGATAAAACATTATGCGATTCATTGATATCAGTGGGATATATAAAGTTAAAGTTGACATATAACTTGTTTTGAATACCTGATAGTAATGACCTTTAAGACCATGTGGATGGTGCATTTTTTCTGGACCTATTCCATGATAAATATAACCACTGCTGCGAAAAATATTTGTAAGTGGCTTCTTTTCATGGCTGTGGACAACGCAACCCTCAATATAAATGTCTTGAATGAAATGCTTCTGAAACATGGTGAACACCAATCTTCTTTCAAGACAATATTTTTTTCCACATTATCTGCAAAATATGTCTTCATGACCAAGTTGTTCAAAGCATGGTTATTTTAACGACAGGTAAATTAAAACCTTCCATATGGTAACTATTCAAACATACTTGAATTCAAAAGTAACTCTAACCCTCAGCCTAACAGTACACTAATTGTCCAACGATATTTGTAATTTTTTAGGCATTTCTCAAAAATCGCATTTCAGTAAGTAACAACAACTGGCTAGGCTAATCAGACACTTTATGGAAAATAAAATTTCTATGACTTTGATGTCTACATCTAGAGCAACTACCTCTTTAACTACTCCGATTACAGGATAGGCAGTATCTAGTTTAATAAGAGGAATGTAGTACAAACTTCAACATCTAATGCAGGCTTTCCTTGATTACACATATTCAAAGGGAACAAATACAGTTGACTATCGGCAAAACCAGAAGGCTTGGTGATGTTTTGGCAAATTTTGTTTAGCTAAAATAGCATTCAATCATAGTTGCAAACAATTTTGGCAAATCATATGTAGTACTGAAAATGAATATTCTTATTTCGTCTTTTTGATGAATTGTTCTTCAATGTTCTATAGTAAGTAATGTTTACTTCTACATCATAACATTGTATCTCCACCGTGAATGTTTCATGTCATACGGTCCCATGTTACCTAAAGCCTACAATTAGACCGTTTATCCCGAGAAAATGATAAAATGTACCCCGATGTAGCTGGAATATTTTCAACTGGCAATGGAACTTATATTACCTACAGTGGGATAACTTTTTCGTTGTCAATCATGATTAATTATAATATGAATCATCTGTCACTTGGAATCAATTGTCTTTTCTGGAGTACGGTACATTTATATATATATTTATCTATATATATATATGTTATATACATGGCAAGAAGCTATCACACTTTTCACATTATGGTTGTTCTCTGTATTATGAACTCCAAGAGTTGGTTTCAATTCTACTCGTCCAGATCAGCGTTTTGGAGATTTTTGAAGCTAAATGCATCAAAATTGTAACCACTCCCATGGTAGAACTTGCTCTGGAACTCGACCCTGAAAAAAAGGAGAACACACATTACAGAAAACTGTACAGTATATGGTACCCTTGTGCCTGACAAATTCTTTATACCTGGAAACCTTTGCCCAGTGAAATTTTGCCCTTCACCAGTAAAATCCACATAAGCCCCATGTTAATTTTGCCCCTAACATGTGATAACTATACACAGTATAATATGTACTAGTATTCGCTGCCATGATAAATTCGCCCTCTTTAGCGGAGAACAAAAAAGGCAAAAAATTAAACTGCTGCGAAATTTCCCGGCATACAGTATAATGGTTTTAACATTATGACATTGAAAGGTGAATGAAGTCTGGTGAACAAGTTTATAAATGTGCTGAAAACTATAGCTGGAAATCAAGTTTCCGTCATTATGCTCAGTGGAGCAGAAGATGTAGGTCAATGTTACCAAGACCTAATGCATATGACACCAATACCCCAAGATGTAACAGCACAGGAAGTCTGGTTCTACAAGGGAACTCTCGGACTAACAGTTTTTCACACTTCACAGGATCATTCCCATTTTTGTGAAGGAAAAAATTAATAGAATCTCATACCCATTGGGGGTGAGATAGGGGAATCTGAAGTTGCAGGGGAAAGATTTTTAAGTTACCAAACACAAAGCTTTGCCAAGACTTTGCCGAGTGTTTGGCAACTTAAGAATCTGTCCCCGTGGGTTGAGATTCCTAATCTTACTTCAAGGGAGTGAATGATTCTTTTTCTTTTACCCTGTTTACCCATTGTGTATCATATACATAATGTAATTTTAACATTACAGGCTAAATGCAGGGTTGACGTGACGACATTGTATTGTTGAGGTGATGTCATACCATTGTTATGAATAGGGGAATCCCCCCGTAACAACCCTAGGATGGGACAAGGAAATCTCACACCTGATAAAGTGTGGATACACCTGTCCAGGGTAACAGAAAAAACTGTTTTTACTTACTGGGGAATGCTATATGCTACATGCTATTATGAAAACGTTGCCATTCCACAATCTCTTTAATAACAAGAGGTCCATTGGACCTGTATCGCTCACCTGGTTTTAATTAACAAGTCATTACAACTGAATGCATTAGTACATTTTTATATGAAATTTCCTCAAAACCAGACAAGATCTATGTTCTAACCCAACTGGGACCACACTATCTGACTTTCAACTAATCAGGGGCCTCCATTGAGTTGCCATGTTAACAGATTTTGAAATAAGTAATATGTCATATTACAGGGTGTAATTAGACAATACTTAAATTTTCATTCAACTGTAAGCTTTTATAAACCTAGAAACCAATTTTTAACAATTTATGAAAACTACACCATAGAAAATGATAATCTAGCTGTACCGTTTCTTAGGACCACAGGGGTCAAATCAACCTCATTCAATTCAGAAATGTTGGTTCCTCCTTAATAATGTTTTTGACCAAATTTTGTACAATCCACTCAGGCAATTAGGGGGTATGAGCGTCTTAAAGCAAAATATAAGATAATTTTCCTGTTTGGTGCCCGGTCTTCCTAGCCAGCCCCAGGTGTNCCTCATTTATTTAAGAAATGATGACCCTCCCCTAGTGATGCTTCAGACTAAATTTGGTTGAAATCCTCACTGGCATTAAGCAGGAGATGCGTTTTAAAGCAAATTTAGCTAAGTTCCCCTTCAGGGCCCCGCCCCCCTGGCCTCTGGGGTCGAACCAACCTCATTTATTTAAGAAATGATGACCCTCCCCTAGTGATGCTTCAGACTAAATTTGGTTGAAATCCTCACTGGCATTAAGCAGGAGATGCGTTTTAAAGCAAATTTAGCTAAGTTCCCCTTCAGGGCCCCGCCCCCCTGGCCTCTGGGGTCGAACCAACCTCATTTATTTAAGAAATGATTGCCCTTCCCTACTGATGCTTCAGACTAAATTTGGTTGAAAACCTCTCTGGCGATTAGAAGGAGATGCATCTTAGTGCAGATTTAGCTAAGTTCCTCTTCAGGGCCCCTCCCCCCCGGCCTCAGGGGTTGAACCAACCTCACTTATTCAAGAAATGATTGCCCTCCCCTAGTGATGCTTCAGACTATATTTGGTTGAAATCCTTAATGCCGTTAAGTAGGAGATGCGTTTTAAAGCAAATTTAGCTAAGTTCCTCTTCAGGGCCCCGTCCCCCTTATTTAAGAAATGATTGCCCTCCCCTAGTGATGCTTCAGACTAAATTTGGTTGAAATCCTCTTAGGCGTTTAGGAGGAGATAGGTTTTAAAGAAAAAGCTGACGACAGACAACGGACGACGGACGCTGCGCCACGGCATAAGCTCACTATGGTCCCTCGACCAGGTGAGCTAATAATAATATACAACATTTGATTTAGATTCCTATCTAGCTAGAATAAGCCACTCTAAAGCGCTTTACAGTACATAGATATACAATTAATACAATTAGCATATACATTAATTAATGCAATTTTGAGGAATTCACAGGAGCTGCCTTATCAGGCGCTAACTACTTGTCCTATGCCACCTGGCTAATATCTCCCTATGTGGGTATGCTTGCGTGTGTGATGTAATGTGTTCTGTTTGTAGTGGGATCGTTCTTCCAATGGCATCAGTTATAGTGCCACTTCACTTGATTGCTACAGCACAGATACAACAACATCCACCCCAGACCAATTTATACTCCACCTGGGTTGTTGGAGTTGTGTTGGCTGGAGAAAAACACTTTCTCTGAATGTCCATGCGTACGACGACTTCGGGGATCAAACCCTGGCCGCCTGCATGGAAGGCCGGAGTGTTAATCACTCGACCAATCAGCCTATCTTTACCTTGTTTAACCTAGGTAGGCGTAGTGCCACCAACATAGTCACACAATTTATGCACTCTTGAAGATGGTGTGTACATCGAATTCATGATAACAACATATTTTTATGGTAGAAAAGTGTGTGAGAAAAATAATCAATCACTTATGTGTGATGCAAACAGAGTAATACCCTCAGGGTAAGATAATTGAAGTTTAGCACTCTGTCTACATCACAAATGAGAAATGGATTTTATTAACCATGAACAGGCAGATGGAACTCACAAACAAGAATAATATACAGGTTTAAAGAAAATATTAAAACTGTACCAGTGAAGACGGAGGGTGTGGAGGAAAGCAGACAGTCCCTCCATCAACAAGAGTACTCCAACAGTCAGCACAGCGAACACTGAGAACACCACAAAGATAATCACGGAGCCTCCATATGGTATATTCATCTTCAGACTGAAACGGAACAGCATTCCCCACAGAACCTCGGACAACTCTGTAATAAACAAACAACAGTGATTACGCATTCAAACAGCATTCTGGCAAGTACTGGTATTCCGTCTTTGCGTATTACAGAGTTTTCTTCTCTTGTGAGCAGGTATTGATTGTTATGTCATTGGTTTGTGAGAGTAACGTCATCAATTTTTGGGAAACGACTTAATTTTCTCACACAAACCAATGACGTAACAATCAATACCTGCTCCCAAGAGAAGATAACTCTGCAATACGCAAAGACGGAATATACCTGTCACAATTTGAAAAAAAAAATGTCGGGAGATTCGCCCAGATGATGGGGGCAAATTAAAGTGTCGTCTGCAGTAGGTGTCATCACCTTGACATGGTTAGCATAACACTCAACCAAGTCAAATTATTCTGACTGTGAGCCATTTAACCTAAGACGTCTAGAGAAACACAGTAACAATGAAATAGAAATTAACAGAGAAAAGAAAGGTGGGCCCAAGCAGTGTTTCAGTCATACACTCATAGACAATCACCACAAAAACACTTAGTCTATGGGAATCAGTTACTTATTAAGAAATGAAATTCACGAAGTAATATATCTGAATTCCTACGATGTGAAATGATGAAATGATAAGTTAGGTATAGAGGGGAAAATTGTAAAATTACTTTAACTTCCAATGTTAACAAAGATATATAATTTCTTTATTTCATGTCATGAAGCCATATCTAGATACATGTCACGCAAATACAATTTTCTTTATAAAGTCGGGATTATGAAAATTTCAGTAGGTCTGTAAGAAAGTTCTATATTGTAGACCAGTTGTTCATGAGTATAAAATTCTAAATTATAAGACTGCCCAAGTGTTTCTCCAATGAGGGCCCATAATCAGAGGTAAGACACTGTGTGTGAGATACAGCCCAGGCAGTACTCTAGGTGTGGTATACTTATGTGAGTGAGCAAGACTGAGGACCCACAATCGGAGGTAAGACACTGTGTGGGAGATACAGCCCAGGCAGTACTCTAGGTGTGGTATACTTACGTGAGTGAGTTAGACTTAGGACCCACAATCGGAGGTAAGACACTGTGTGGAAGATACAGCCCAGGCAGTACTCTAGGTGTGGTATACTTACGTGAGTGAGCGAGACTGAGGGCCCACAATCGGAGGTAAGACGCTGTGTGGGAGATACAGCCAAGGCAATACTCTATGGTGTGGATCGCTTGACCGATAAATATCTCGCTGAAGTCAAACTAAGGATTAAACAGAACAAACATTCAATAACATTATAGTCAACACAAGCAACTTTTGTTATTTTCGTAAAAATTGTCATATAGGCCCAACTTTTGATGTTTATCTTTAACAACTGATGAAAATTATAATTGCACAAATTAAATTGTTGTTCAATAACTATTGATGCCTCAAGATATTCACTGTGACAGTAGCTAATGACAAACAAAATAAAATAAAGCTTATATTACCACTTGGGTACATATGTTTGACACCCCTGCAGGTCGGGGATCGAGAAAAGAATACACCTGTTGTTACCCACTGCATGCATCGTAAGAGGCGACTAATGTGGGAACCCCTGCAGAATTTGGATTTGGTTTTTATGCCCTCTACTTGGGGACACAAAAGCAACCAAAATAAATCTGCTGCACCCATGGCAATAATTGGGATCTTTATCTTTCTTTCTACTTCTAACTTCCATTTATTCGCTTTCTTTCTACTTCTAACTGCCTTTTATTTCCTAGCGCCTTGCTTGGCAACACCTCACTTTTGCCTTGATGTTGAGCGTTTGCCCAGGAGAGGAATGCAATGGGTCCTGTCCCCAGGCCGGGACATAACAAAGTGCTTAAAAATGGTAGTTGTTCTTCTCTGCTTAATGTTCAGCATTCAGGGTAATGGCAACAACTTGTTCAACCGTTGTCAGTATAATGTGACCGGGTGGAATGCTGTGCTGGGTGCCTTCGGCATGGTACTTCAGTGAGAAAGCGCTATAAAGTCGGCATCAGATCCACGCTACCACAATGAGGCAATTACACCAACATACCCTGTCTCCGGCATATATGCACGCTTACACAACACGTGTGGAGGCCTGTTCTTAAATGACCTTAGCTGTTTATAGGACATTAAACTAAAACTAAACTCAACATATGTTTGAGACAATGATTTCAGGCATCCAGACAGATAAGTACATCAATTTGGAAATGTTGCAAATTAATAATTTGAAAACTAATAATACGTACCTAGATCAGAAAATCATTAAACCATAACATCAAAATGATGGTTTTCTTTATTGGTACTTTAAATCATTCACCCCTAAAATTTCATAATGCACTATTCCAACCTTTGAATTGGAAGAGTTCAAATGTGTCTTTAGGGGTGAATGAGTTAAATGTACCTTAAGTACAATGTACATGTAGAATGTGTTAGCTTTTCATGGTGAAAAGCTGTTATCAGCGAAGGTCATGATTAAAATAGATTCCATAAGAGAAAAATACCATACAGGCTATGATGATGAATAGTGAAAGTTATTGCATGCTGTATTTAGAGACAATAAAAGCCATTACTAGTTTATGGTTATTTAGACTTAAAAGAACAAGATTTTAAGGGAAAATGTAAACTACAAATATTTTTAGTCTGCCCAAAAGGTATATTTGTGCAGGGCTTAATGACCAGACACTTTGCTAACCTCATTTACCATTAGATTCCCATCGCTGACTCTTCTAAAAGACCTGTCAGAATGTTATCTTTTGTCCGATGAATAACACATATCGCAATGACATTTACAGAAATCTACCAATAATATAATGACATCATCAAGCATTATTGTCAATGGGAAAATGGCAGTGTGACCTTGACCTCTATGTGACACTATGTAAACCAGGAGACCATATCATCTCTACCAACTTACCTCTTCTAGTTTCACATCATCAGCACTCTGCAAATGAAACGATGATATTAGGGTAAATAACAGTGAAAGAAAATAACATAATTTTGCATTCAAATTTACAACACGACTATTGTGGTACATGTATTAAATCTCTTAATTTTCATTAACTCATTATCTGACTGTTCCACATTAATAATAATTTAATCAGAGTTTATCTAGATTTCAGCAAACAGTTTAACATATTGAAAAATAATGTATACCTTAGAGTTTAGCCAACATTTGAAAGCATTGAAAATGTAAAACATAGGTAACTGCATAGACTTTCAAAATTAATACACTATAGGTGATTTGTTCCAATAATGAACAGATAATGTTTGATACATGTTTACCAATCCAATATTATGTAATACATCACAAAAGAGTAGAAAGCGGTGTTTAGAAAGGTTTAGCCTACATGTGTGACCCTAGTGTGGTCAAAAGTTTCACGAAGAGTCAATGGACTATGGTCGTTAGTCAGAATACATATACACAGGCTAAAAATGCATTAAGTATCCCAAACTACTGAGGTAGATTTCATTGTGACGTGACAAAGAATGCTGTGTTATCACATTGTGCACTGATGTGCTGTTATAGACATTAATTAAGATTATTAAGATAATGTAGGTTAGATAGCTACATATTACATTGGTTAGAATAGCATACAGAAGTCAATATTAAGTGTGATGTCAATATTCTATCAGTTTTAGTTACAAAGCAGCAATAGTAAAGTTAAGTTTAAGCCAGATATTCTCGAAATACCTACTGTAGTCCAGTATTAAACCTGTGTTAGAAAAATTCTAGGAGGAATTTAAAAAGTATCGAGGAATGTCACTCACAGAGAACTGAAAAGACAAATCTCCCATTTCTTTTGTTTCAGTGCTATTTCATTGTGTATTGAAATGAATCTTTTTGTTATTGTTTCAATCTGGAGATTTTGTTTTTTCCTAAATGAAAATGACAATGAGAAACAGGTAGACCAACTCTAAAATTCAACATGGCAGTATTATATACGAGAGATTTTGCACGTGTTCAGTGTGTTTGATGTGATTGTTGCACGCTTGCAAGGAATTCACTGCAGCTACGTGTCCATCTGCTTGTGTATGGGATGTGTTGACGCCGGTATATGATACGCCCTTAAGTTTTTTTTACTTATTTAATTCGGTTTTCATGTCACAATTCAGCGACTAAATTAGCCTATGACACTTGTTTCTATGACGCTATGTCGATTGCGTTGCCATGGTTACCTGGTCCTCCATTTCAGCATGGTTATGTTCCCCACCGTCCCCGTTGATGCTCAGTTTCACCTCGGACGAACGGACAGTCTAAGGACGATAACACTCATTATCAGGGACTTGGAATAAACAATTTTGATGGCAATGCGATTGAAACAGAAATTTCTATAAACCCATTGGCATTAATTTGATCTTTCAGGACAAATGCATGGTGAAGCCAGCTGATTGTACTTGACTATTTTTGTATCAATTTTTTTTCTTCCCTGTGTGATTATACCAGTAACATGGGCAGTTTTCTTTCAGCCATATTCAAGTTTCAAAAACTAAATAGATATTCTTGACAACTACCAAGTAATCTAACGACTCTTTTTAACAGTAATTTGTTAAATTTCAAAATTGAAAACATTTAAATTTAATGAGAAAAATTTAATCTAACATATATATGATTTTGTCATTTGCATAAAGATGGGTACCTGCAAGATTTCAATTTTTGATATCAGAGTAATGGTCAAAATAAATCAACGTGTCACTTCAGTTTTAAGATATTTTTTCGTTAATTTAACAAGTGAATAGTGTGTATTTCTGACATGAAATAAAATCTGTTAGTTTTGTTAAGAAAACCTGAGGGAATGTTAAATCATTTTTATCTCATTCACCCTGAACTTTCATAATGAACTATTCCAACCTTTGAATTGGAAGAGTTCAAATTCAAATGTGTCTTCAGGGGTGAATAAGTTAAAAAATATTCTAAAAACTCTGAGATTGCTTTTTTGTCCCTCTGATATTGTTTGTGTTTATTTATTGTGTTGGATTATTCAATAAAACATGATTTAATCTAAGCTAAACAAGAACATATAATCATGACAATATCTTATCAACAAATTACACATTACCATAACTAATGTACATGTATTTTCATTTGTTTTTTTTTGTTTATTTTGTTTTGAAGTTTGTTATTGCTGGAACCCATCTTCAAACACTAACAATTTCAGACGAAGGCCCACTTTTTCTATGAGAGTACGGTATTACATGTGAACTAGGCTATGTACTTTGATGTATACAGTACAAGATACCTACTGAAGCTTTCTAATCTAAAATATCTGTATAATTCTGTAACTCTAAGTAACTGGGTAACCAGATAACAGTAACCACTCGAGAGGTCCACACTAATGAAAGAAGATCAGCTGGTTATATGTACAATACAGACCCATCACCAAGAATTACAAACTTTGCTCAATATACTCAGAGGCATCTGAAATAATTGTCCTCTGTAGCAGAAATAGCCAAACTGTATTTTAATATCTACAGTGGCTTGGAGTGCTTTCTGATAAACTGTTCTTTAACCAGCCCTAAAGAGCTCTTAGATGAGATTTAATAATATCTCTGAAAATTCTACACTTGTAATGGGAGTTGAACCCTCGACTTCAACAAATCAGCTCATAAAAGCTCTTCTGAATACCAATAAAGTATACTTTTATTTTAACAAATGGAAAAAATCATGATTATAAAAAGCAAGAAAATAAAAAATACAAATATTGTAAATTATTTTAGCAAAAATGTATATGTAGATTGAAGACTGTTCAAAATTGATATTCAAAAGCAAAATTATCCTCATTTCCTCAGGGAACTAAATTTTAATCCCAATACTCATTTTCACTTTTTTCCACCTGATTTATAATGTACATCTACGATTTTTCTTTGTACATATAAAGACAAGTAAATGTTTCTTGAATTTCTTTTAACCACATGTTAACACCATAATAATTCAAATACTTTTTGAACAATTTAAAAAGCATTCACAGATTGATTGATTGAACAGCCAAGAAATTCTGATGTAAATGTTTTTAATGAAAAGTGAAATCAAAACATGCAAAAAATTGATTATGACATTAATTTCATGAAAAATCACATCAAAATATTCTGTGATAAAAATTGATTAATTTCGAGGAGTACCTGTATTGTGAACCCTTGTTAGTCTGGACTTAACCTGGTATTGGAAACTGACTTATGAAACTTGTGTCTAATGCAGAGAATTTTCCCTGCATTAATTTTTGAAAAAATATCCAGACTAAGAAGTTTCCACAGTACAGGTGTGATGTACCCCAGTAAACTGTTAATTACTGTGGGAGGTTAACAGTTAGTTAACTTTGTAATGGTAGCTGTGGTAAATAAAAGTGTACTGTAAAACATGAAATTGTATCATCTGTTTGATTTATTTTCACTCATTTTGCTCCTCAAAGGAATATATAAACACATTTTTATTTTGAAATTTAATCTAAGTTAGAGGAGATTGCAACCCCCATAGATCTGTTCATTATTAAAATTCTACAGCTTCTTGGGGCTCTACCCCTCAACAGTCATGTTAATTGAGGATTTAACTCATTCACCCCTGAAACTTTATAATGGACTATTCCAACCTTTGAATTGGAAGAGTTCAAATGCGTCTTCAGGCGTGAATGAGTTAAGTGCAATTTCTATGTACTGGGACAACTGAGTCTTTAAGAACAGCATAACAGAGTGGAAATTTCTTGTTTTTCAGTACAAATAGTAATTAGATTTCCAAGATGTTTAATCATTCATTGTCACACCGGAGTCAGTTCAAGCTGTGGTCAGTTCTCAAGCCTTTGGTCAATATAAGCTGTAAGTTTAGTACACAAAACTGTGTAACAAAAATTAATCAATATTATAGACAGTTACAGGTGTATGCATAGCTGGGTGATCCAAGGCCCTCAAGCTCTTGTTACATACCAAAACGTATTTTGCCATTCTATAGACAATATATAATATCTATTAATCTGACTTTTTCCAAATCTTGTTCAAGAAAAAAATCTTCTCCATGACAACAGTTTACAATATACATGGTATGATTAAAATACATCACTTGGGTTTTCACTGGTTTATGCATATTGGTAGGAAAAGGTGGGAGTGGTAAACAAATTACAGGTCTGTCTTCATACGCTATATTGCAAATTATTCCAAGTGATGCATAAACAAATGTATACCAGGTTAAATAGACAGAGGGTGTTCAGATGGCGCAGTGGACAGCACAGTTGTCTTTCACTAAGATGGGTGGGGTTTGATTCCCCAATAGGATATAAAAAGGTATTCGGTCACCCAAATTGGATGTGAAAAGGAATTCGGTCACCTGTTCAACCATGTGGGCTTTTTCTCTGGGTACTCCAGTTTTCCTTTCACCTTAAGACTGACTCTGTGTGCTTACATCTGGGCCAACAAGAGTGATAGTTATAAGTTGGAACATCAAAGATTCAACTAAGAAACTCCTATGTGGATCTATGTGGCAAGGACAGTAATAGCTGTAATGGTAACAAGAGTTGATGCCCCTGAATCAATCCAGCCAGCAGAGCTTGTTCATACACACACCCACCCACTTAACACATGGGCATCAAATTGACTGAAATATGATATCAATACAATAACCCATTTACCTCTAACCAGTGTCTACATGAACTACAAACACACTTTGGCTGTCACCTAATTCATGAACAGCTGTTATAGATATTGAAGCAAACCTTTTTATGTTTTTGTTATACAGTCATGCACATGGAGATTAAATTCTCTTTGTTAACTGATGTAAACAATAAGTAAAAGAGCAGTTTTTAGTCAATGTTTGATATAATTTACGGCTACGCCGATATTCTAAATCTTTAATATTTATATAATTATGTATGGTACTTCTACAAAAATAATTTGGTGAAATTATGCCAGGAAATGAAAGTGGCATAATTACCTAATTATTTTTAAAATGAAAACTAAAAGACATTCAGACTGCTTCAATGTTTTTGCATGTGTTAAGAAGAGTAGACACTGGTTAGGAAGCAAATACATGTGTGTGCTGTCAACAGACATACTATCGGGGTTTCGTTCACATTGTCTTCCAACAGATGTCTTCTAGACTGAAAAAAATAACATGCACCAAACTTTGTTAGCCTGGATATCTATAAAATAACAATGTATGGATTAAAAAAACAAATTCTAAAACATTTAATAAAATATTTAATAGAAATTTTATTAATTTACCCAAATCTTATTGTTAAATAATGTAGTATGAAAGAATTAGACCTATTATACAAAGCCATATAGTCCTCTTAAAAATATTTTTTTTTTCAAAAGGAGAAATAATTTCATTAAGTGATAAGGGGATCTGTTTAAATTATATTTTTTCATCTGAGCATTACATACTACATGGATTTTCCCCCTTTTTTCAATTTCATTTTTTTTATTTCAGAACTTTTCAGTTATCTCCCTTAATTACATGATTTACCAGTAGTCTTGATCCGAAAAGCTTATATTAATAGGTTTGTGAAACATGCTGACATCACAATGAGGTGGGGGCCAGTTAGTATATGATTTGGTAATGCTCTGTTAATTGAGGATGGACATTTAATATATAAATGTATTATGGAATTGATTTTGCTTCTCTTGGATAAACGAGAATCATGCAGGCTTGAGACTGAATTAGTCCCTATTCTGGGTACTGTTTGTTGATTGGTATCAAAGTTCCTTAATGATTCAGACATATACTCTCTAAACTGTTGTTAACAAATACATTGACTTCTACTGCAAAGTCAATAGATATATATTAATATATAAATAAATATGTTACCATTTGGCATGCCACAATTATAAGATCATATGTATTGAAATTCGTTTGGGAAAAAAATCTGTATAAATGGCTTTTAATACAACAGCACACAAGCCATATTTCTGTTATTTGTACCTTTTTACAACAAGAAAATAATTGCAGCGTTGAACATTTTGATGAGACATAAAATAAACACCAAAAAACATCTAGATAAAAGTGTAGGTCTCAAAACTAATTGACATTATGCAGAAAAAATCTGAACTATTTATATATGATGTACTAGCTTTACATAGACTGAACTACACATTCAATATAACGATCAGTTTAAACGGTAAAACCTCTACCTTACAAAATAATTATTCGTACAACTTTTAGCCTCGTTGCAAAGTTAAACCTTCCGAAAAAATAATATTTGAATGTATACCAGTATACCTTACTTGAGATTTTGATTTCTTGATAGCAGATTAAACAGAAATACTGAAAATGAAATCAGATCCAGAAATACTAGCCTCCAGCAAGAAGGTTTAAATTTCAGGCGAGTTATAATCTACGTTCTATATTTACTCTCCAAAAAATTACTCGGCTATGAAAGATATATTAAGATACATAAATACATAGGTATTGTCTGCTGAAGATTTTTTAGAGAAAAAAAAAACACAAAAATTATAGATATCTAAATTTATGGTAGAAAAAAATACTGTAGAAGCTTAGAATTTAATGTTGGATAATATCTCATCAGACAATACAGGGCTAAGGTTAAAATATGCCAACCACCATTAATAGAATATTTGTAAACTTGACCGTATTGTGAACCATAAACCGTCAACTTTAAAAAAAAATCCCCTTGCACTGTCCGAAAAGCCGGACAATGCAGGTAGAAATGGAAGCAAAACTAGCAAGCACTGTGGACCCATGCAGGATATGATATCAATGGGTCGAAGGTCAAGAAGAACTTACCCCAAGCTCAATATCGGAGATAGCTTGCTCTTTGTCTGCGGTACCGTTTCCAGTACCAGACTGAAGGGTATCAGAACAGTTGAAGTCAAAGACAAAGCCTCAATCTCAATGATCTAACCCCCAATACTCTCTACATTACACTCCATAAGGTCAAGGTCATTCAAATTGATCAAGGTCAGGCCACTGAACAACATCAGCTTTCTGATCAAGATCAATCTTTGTAAATGAAAATAGATCTTCATCTGTTATCAGTAGCCTGGTGCTGATTTAAAAAAAGAACTTTGATTTCAAATCACAGTAAATTTGCATAGATCTAACATCATTTATAGGCAAGAGAAACAATGGGTTTTTGTCTTTGATAACCTTGACCTTGATGAGCCCTTAGCTCTTTGAAAAACATGTGGTGATGGAGGGATACCACCATGTACAAGATCAAGATCTAAATAAGGCAGGCAAATTTTAATTGAAAGAAAAGAAAGTCCTCTTAAAAATATTTTTTTTTTAAAAACATAAATGAGTTACAATGATCCAAAAACATTGTGTGTTGCACCTTCAAAAATCTTTTCAGAAAATCTAAGTTTCTGCTCCAGTTATGTCTCCAATAAAACAACCAGGTCATGAAACCTTGGTGAGGACTAGTCCTGACCTGAACCCTGAAAACTCGGGGTTTTATTTCATATTATGTTCAAAACACGTTTACTTATTATTGTATTTACCAGTAAAGAGTGTAATTGTAGCTACTGACCTCTACTGACCCCTACTGACCTCTAAAACATTACATTAAACAAGTATGTGGTATAACCAACTCCTACAATTGGCATCAATATACGTAAGACACAATACTGTAATTACTTTGTAATTATCAACTTTTGACAAAACAATTGAATAAAGTACCTATGAAGGAATAGTGATAAAGATTCTCTGTAAATTTAGTTGAGATATTTATGTTATAGATGTCCTATTTCAGATATGCAAAGCGTTACGTCAAGTAGAAGCAGACGTCATTTTAGAAATGAAGCATAGTTAGTACGGAAAGACTAGAGATAAAATATTCCATCATGATTTACACAAGAAAGTGAAGTCATGATTTTCATGCCATAGTTGAAATATCTTAACCACACAATATAAACTGTGTGATCATGATCACACAGAAATCATTACCAGAATTTATGAATCGAAAATAGTGTAACTTTATGTTCACAACAAATGGAAAGTTGTAACAAATATGACTGTGACAACATCACGGCAAACCTCCAGTCAATTCAAAAAATCAATAATTTTCCATCTAGTGATAGATCAAACCCTATTATTTGTATTTAACTCTTTCCACCCTAGGTTACTTGAGTAGACTCTACCATACATTCATCTGGGTGAATCCATGATGGTCTACAGTGGTGAAAGGGTTAACGCCTTTCAGATTGTCAAAAAGGTAATGCAATTACTACATTGATTTCAGAGTTTGGCTATAAGCACACTGATAAATACTGAACTTTCGCCATTACTCAAAGATACCTTCCATGCTTGACTGGATGTTTGCCTATGACGACTTCAATTGTTCAAACTCATTCACCCCTGAAGACACATTTGAACTCTTCCGATTCAAAGGTTGGAATAGTTCATTATGAAATTTCAGGGTGAATGAATTAATTGCTAGAATTTTGTATTAATCAAACAGGTTCCATAACATTTGAATTTTTTGAGCAAACCTGGGATTTACCGATAACCAGAGGTACAGTCATGGTTTAAGAAATAACACCAGGGGTAATAGCTTTACAGGAGCCATGCTCACAGCAGTCATGCTTACACAGTACAGCCCAATTAATACTGCCACATTAATTTGTGTATGTCATTATAGCAAGATATTCCATATACCGGTAACAGGATTACAGGAACGTGTAGACACCAACAGGGGGAGATAACTCTATATCTAGTCACAACATTTTTATATCAAGACTGTGTTTTTGCTAGAAAATCTAATTTCGGTACAAAATTTAAAGTTTTTAGTCCAACATTACAACAACAACTAAATGAAGATGACATAAGTTGACAAATTAAGATAAACAAAACAGGATGTATTAGGGAGAACTAAACAACCTGCCATATTGGGAACAAAATACAAAGATCAAAGATTGCAGTTTCCTTACCTGTTCATCCAATTCTTCATTGTGGATAAGGGCACTCTGAGAAACAGCTGTAAGACCTGCTCTTCTCTGAAAAAGGAAAATAAATGTCTTAAGACCATAATTCTACGGCCAATAAATGAACACATATGCTGTTTAAAACTTCCCATCTACTGAGAAGTTAACTGTTACTCATGGCAAATTAAAAAGAAACTAAATTTGAATATATAATACTAACATGTTAAATTCCTGTACCATTAACTTATTAGTTATCTTTGGTTATTGAATACCTACACCATAATTCACATATACTTAACAAATACATTGTACAAATACCTGGTCTTGGTAAGTGTTTCAAACAACTGATTCCGAATTTGTGAGGATTTGCTTGAAACAGCTGATTCCGAATTTGTGAGGATTTGCTTGAAACAGCTTATTCAGAATTTGTGAGGATTTGCTTGAAACTGATTCAGAATTTGTGAGGATTTACTTGAAAAAAAAATAATCAGAATTTGTGAGGATTTGAATTCAAGCAAGGAACAATTAGTACAAATCTAAATTTTCTGGATTAATCTTTTCCAAGATATTTAATATATTGAATGAAGAATTGGATCTCATGAAATATATGTACTTTACAGTAGGTCCTGGGGAGAGAGAAGATTCTTTTTTGTATCTCCTGTTATAATTTTCCTCATTCTATTTCATTGTTGTCTTTGTAACCCATATTGATTAAACTCCTTAACTGCAAGCGTACACACACATAATATCAGCCAGAAGGGATAATGCCAACATTCACATAACACTGTTACAAGGCTTAGTGTTTTCTGTATCAAACATGAATGTTTTATGAATAATTTCCTTATTACATGAATCATTGACAACTGGACACATCTGTTCAAAGCTTTACAAGTCACTAACAAAAACTTAAAAAAATTATCTGAAATTATACCAAAAAAATTCTGTTTTAAGTATACAGTTCATTTTTAGTCTGTAGGTGATCATTTTTAATTTCTATATATATACAGTTCAGTTTTAGTCTGTAGGTGACCATTTAGGGAGAGGGCTTGTATAGGCATAGCCTGTTGCCCAATTCCCATTGAATCAATTGATTTAATCAAATATTTTGAAATGAAAAAGTGACCGTTTTTTAATTTCTATAGATACGGTTAAGTTTTGAATTCCAATATTTTTCAACATTCAATTGATGTGAGTTTTGTAATACCAGTTTTGAATATCTGGGCACTGATTTCTAAACAGAAGGGGCTTATTTATCACGTTTGACCTCTAAAATATTACATGATAAAATAACAACAGGATAAGAAGTAAACAGAATTTATAAAAAGAAGTCAACAGTTTTTGTGATAAACATGGCACATTGGTACATATAAGGAAAGGGATACATCAAAACTTTCTCCAAAATCAGTATTACATTTGGATTAGTGAAAATTTTTGAATAACAACCAAATAAATGTCTGAAGCTAAAAAGGGGTTCCAGGTAGTAGATATCTATATCTTTATTATCACAGTGTGAAATACAGAAACTGGTATTGCATGGTATGGAAAATGGCTTTGTGGCTATAGTAAGATTCATCATGTATTTAGTATAAGTCGTTTTTCACATATATCATGTGTGTAATATATATTGTTTATCACAAACATACAAATTCTACTACTGCACTCTAGCTTTATACTTATACACCACCACCAATAAAAAAAAATGTTCTGTCATCTCACTTTCATATCAAATTTCCTCAAGTGCAGGGACATTTTCATTTGACATTCATCGTGTGCAACCCTAGAAAAGCAAGATATCATGACTGATACTTGAAATCAACCTTGTGTGCACACAGACTGGAGAGTATACACAGGGTATCTTGTTAAAACTATCTCACGATATTTGGCTGCAATTAAATTCTCTGAATAATGAAGTCTGTTATGCAGGTTTACTTCTAATTCCAATGTAATGAGAAATTACAAAAGTCATCATGACCCAGAAGATTTTCTATAAATAGCACTGGTGATCTCAACTTTGGCTGTAACACTTTGAAATACAAACAAATCCATATAAGGCAGTGACATACTAAATTTGAATGAAATTTGATCAGGAATGAAGTTTTTTGAGTGAAGATAAGTTTTTTTTTATAAAAAGTAACAATGACCTGGATTCTGGCACCCTGAAACATGAACTTGTTCAGGGTAACCCTTTACTAGAACATTTTACGAAGTCTGAAGAAAATTTATGAAGATATGCCGTGAACATACGTACATGTACCTGGTACATACAAATAATGCTTTATACCTTCAATGAACTAATTAAAGCAAACTAAAAGAAACTGAAACTTTTCAAATATTTTGATACATAAATAAAGCGTCTTAAAAATATGTAAACTAGGTCTTAAATACACCACCACCATAATGTTTAATTATACAAACATACTAATAAACTATTGCTTAATTTTCTATCTAAATATAAATATATAAATCATAACAAACAAAAGTCCTCTCAAGCTGGTCTACATATTTTTCTACTTCATATATCTTACTAATTTCTATGTGCTAATCAAACTAGTTAAACTAGATGGGCTGCATCTTTGTAACATGCTGGAAATAACGGGCAACTTAAATTCTCTTAACTTTTGTTAGTCACATCAAGATAACACAAAAAAGAATCAACACTTGTTTAATCTAATGAAATATGTAACAAATTAATAACAATTAAGAACAAATTAAGCAACTCAAAGCACATTCAAATCAATGTACACATAATTCTGGTTTGAAAACTAATGGCAGTTAAGAAATATTTTGCAGTTAAAATCCACTAATAATGTTTAAGTCCCACCCAGGGGAATTTTTACCCCACCCTTTTTTTAAGTAAAATACAATCTGGCATTTCTAGCAGCTGTGTCCATGATGATACATGTGCGGGGTCATGACTTAGGTTTCCATGGTTACAAGTCATATATACTTACGCCTTCCACTTTCTAAACAATAGGCAAAGAATACAAATTTAATCACCGATCATACACAGACTGGCTGTTATTGATATTTTGATTACATACATGTAGATGGCATATTTATAATTTGTACTGACAACTGACAACTAAATCCACTAAAATTGGTAATCCAATCAACTTGGCAATGTCATTCTGAACTTTTCAATGCCAGGCTGAAACTAAACTTCAGCCTTTTATCTACTCTAGTATATATGAAATACGAGCCTTTTAACTCATTCACCCCTGAAGTCACATTTGAACCTTACCAAATCAATGGCTGTGCAAGTCCAGTTCAGATATGTAGGGGTGAATGAGTTAATAACTTTGCAGCATAACCATTTGTAAGAAAGCTAAACATTTATACATCAAGTAATTCTAATGTCAATTGCTCTGTACTCATTTAAGTGATAGCATTGCTATGAAAAAACTAAGATGGAGAAATGTTTCCTTCACAAATTAAAAAAAAACAACACTAAAAACACCGACTGACTCAAAATTGTTTAGGACAACCAGGATATCATGATTTATATGCAATTCAATAATTTGTTCCATATCTTTACAAAAATGACTCTTTTTTCCAATATTAGAAATAAATAAATAGACCTTTTTCCTTTTTTTCCCTCTTGTGATGTACATATTTAGGTCAAACGACATTGCATCTAACTTTGTATGACAAGTATGAAGTTGGCCATCTTACATTTAATATTTGAATTTCAGTAATCTAAGGATCGTAGATCAGAATATGATGCAGAAAAGTGTACCCACACAGGGCGTTAACACTGTACACTGATCAGTGTACCCACACAGCGCGTTAACACTGTACACTGATCAGTGTCCCCACACAGGGCGTTAACACCGTACCCTGATCAGTGTACCCACACAGGGCGTTAGCACCGTACACTGAGCAGTGTACCGACACAGCGCGTTAACACTGTACACTGATCAGTGTACCCACACAGGGCGGTAACACCGTACACTGATCAGTGTACCCACACAGCGCGCTAACACCGTGCACTGATCAGTGTACCCACACAGGGCGTTAACGCCGTACACTGATCAGTGTACCCACAAAGGTCGTTAACACTGTACACTGATCAGTGTCCCCACACAGGGCGTTAACCCCGTACACTGATCAGTGTACCCACACAGCGCGCTAACACCGTACACTGATCAGTGTACCCACACTGGGCGTTAACACCGTACCCTGATCAGTGTACCCACAAAGGTCGTTAACACTGTACACTGATCAGTGTACCCACACAGCGCGTTAACACCGTACACTAATCAGTGTACCCACACAGGGCGTTAACACCGGACACTGATCAGTGTACCCACACAGGGCGTTAGCACCGTACACTGATCAGTGTACCCACACAGCGCGTTAACACCGTACACTAATCAGTGTACCCACACAGGGCGTTAACACCGTACCCTGATCAGTGTACCCACACAGGGCGTTAACCCCGTACCCTGATCAGTGTACCCACACAGGGCGTTAACCCCGTACACTGACCAGTGTACCCACACAGGGCGTTAACACCGTACATTGATCAGGGTACCCACACATGGCGTAAACACCGTACACTGATCAGTGTACCCACACAGGTCGTTAACACCGTACATTGATCAGTGTACCCACACAGGGCGTTAACACCTTACCCTGATCAGTGTACCCACACAGGGCATTAACTCTGTACACTGATCAGTGTACCCACACAGGGCGTAAACATCGTACACTGATCAGTGTACCCACACAGGGCGCTAACACCGTACACTGATCAGTGTACCCACACAGGTCGTTAACACCGTACATTGATCAGTGTACCCACACAGGGCGTTAACACCTTAAACTGATCAGTGTACCCACACAGGGCATTAACTCTGTACACTGATCAGTGTACCCACACAGGGCGGTAACACCGTAGATTGATCAGTGTACCCACACAGGGCGTTAACACCGTACATTGATCAGGGTACCCACACATGGCGTAAACACCGTACACTGATCAGTGTACCCACACAGGGCGGTAACACCGTAGATTGATCAGTGTACCCACACAGGGCGTTAACACCTTACCCTGATCAGTGTACCCACACAGGGCATTAACTCTGTACCCTGATCAGTGTACCCACACAGGGCGTTAGCACCGTACACTGATCAGTGTACCCACACAGCGCGCTGACACCGTACACTGATCAGTGTACCCACACAGGGCGGTAACACCGTACACTGATCAGTGTACCCACACTGGGCGTTAACACCGTACCCTGATCAGTGTACCCCCACAGGGCGTTAACACAGTACACTGATCAGTGTACCCACACAGGGCGTAAACATCGTACACTGATCAGTGTACCCACACAGGGCGTTAACACTATACACTGATCAGTGTCCCCACACAGGGCGTTAACCCCGTACACTGATCAGTGTACCCACACAGCGCGCTGACACCGTACACTGATCAGTGTACCCACACAGCGCGCTGACACCGTACACTGATCAGTGTACCCACACAGGGCATTAGCACCGTACACTGATCAGTGTACCCACACAGCGCGCTGACACCGTACACTGATCAGTGTACCCACACAGACGTTAACACCGTACACTGATCAGTGTACCCACACAGGGCGTTAGCACCGTACACTGATCAGTGTACCGACACAGCGCGTTAACACTGTACACTGATCAGTGTACCCACACAGGGCGTTAACACCGTACACTGATCAGTGTACCAACACAGCGCGTTAACACCGGACACTGATCAGTGTACCCACACAGGGCGTTAGCACCGTACACTGATCAGTGTACCCACACAGGACGTTAACACCGTACACTGATCAGTGTACCAACACAGCGCGTTAACACCGGACACTGATCAGTGTACCCACACAGGGCGTTAGCACCGTACACTGATCAGTGTACCCACACAGGACGTTAACACCGTACACTGATCAGTGTACCCACACAAGGCGTTAACACCGTACACTGATCAGTGTACCACCACAGGGCGTTAACACCGTACACTGATCAGTGGCACAACTTGTTGGTTATTTGTAAGTATCAGAAACATTTTAAAACATGAAACTTTCCCGTGTCTGCGGAATTTCCCAAAGATTAGGAAGGTTTTGTAGATTTCTCAGCATCTGGATCAATGCCACAAATTACGAAATACTGAGCAGGTCAGATCAACATTTCGGAAGACTCTGGAGATAGTTATTGCAATACTTTTTGTAAGTCCATTTGGATTTTCCTTTAGTTATTTTACTTTATGCTTACATGTGGCATTTTGCCATTCAAACCACATAAACAGAAAAGGCCAAGGTGAAATGAAAAAGTCCATCTGATAAATACACTCACAGTCCCAACTAGTTATAAAATTTGCTGTGAATTTTTATATCTATTCTACTTTTAGTGAGAAATTACCCTCACCAAGAAAAGAATTCATCGTCTTCTATTTCAGTTGATAAAAGTACTAAATTACCTTCAACATGCTGTTGTGTCTGTGTCGGAGAACAAAAGGCTTGATGAACAGCATGGTAGGGACACACAACAGGGCCACAACTACCAGACAAAGCTGAATGATCATCTAGAAACGAAAGAACATTCAAATGTTTTATTAAATTTAAAAAAAAGTTGCAACCTGTTAAAGCAAACGGTTCAAAATAACAGTCAATAATTTGAACACTTTGTTGATACATAATATAGAGTTACATTGTTGGCTGTGAATTATGGCTGTGAATTAATATTCAATAAATGAGAATGAAATTTACAATCTTTCTTTTCCAACTGCCTATCCCTAAGAAACAAAACCTACAGGGTACATGGCCTATCTGGTTTGGTTAGAAGGTTGTCTGATAGCTACAGGTTACATGACCTACCTGGTTTGGGTAGAAGGTTGTCTGAGAGCTACGGGTACATGACCTACCTGGTTTGGGTAGAAGGTTGTCTGAGAGCTACTGGGTACATGACTTACCTGGTTTGGGTAGAAGGTTGTCTGAGAGCTACAGCCGGTACATGACCTACCTGGTTTGGGTAGAAGGTTGTCTGAGACGTACATCCTGTTATGTCTGGGTCGGCTGTTTCACAGCTATATGAAGCGTTCTGATAGCCATCATTAGCATGCTGGTATTTCACAAGGAACATGTTGATAAAGTCTGCAATGACAAAATGTCGGGAATTACAGTTTCCTCCTCAACTGATAGCTGTATTTGTATAACATCATTTGATTTTTGAACTTCTGAATTTCCTACATGATTTAGTAAGTTTTGGCTCAATAAATCAATAAGTTCTTAACATTAACTCATCAATGATTTACTGTACACTGAGAAATTATTGCCTTTTTTTCGGCCTCCATAATGAGGGCGAATTTATCATAATGTAAAAAAACTTACACACATAGTAATTCATGCAAGGGGAGAAATCAATACTAAGAGAATATTGACTTTATCCACAAATGGCGAATGTTTGACTTGGCAAACATATCCTGCTATGCAGTATAGTCTGTAAGTTAGTGACATGCGATCTTGAAATTTGAAACAGGTAATTGAACAATAACTTTTCCACCCCAGTAAAAATCACATTTTTTTTCAAAAACAAGTTTGAACACTGATAAATTATCCCAACCTGGTGGTTTATTTTCTCTTTCTCCCATAATGTATATATCAACATTACAACCGTAAATTCCATTTTCAAGTTAAATAATCAGCACACTGTCTTGCTTTTCCTTTGGAAAACTAGTTTATCCGGGAATATGACTACATCTAATTAAAGCCCATTCCCTATTTTAGAGTTCATTAAAAATATTAATTACCTGATAGAAACTCTGTTAATACATATCATTATTTTTTTGTAAACTTACGAATGAGAAGGGACGGAGCACACTGTGTACAGTGGTTGGTGTACGAGACCCATTTGTAGAAGATGAGAGCGACTAGATATCCGAACAAACACAACAAGAACAGCAACTCTGGGATGAATTGGCAGAAAATGTTGAGTGGCTTACGGAAGTATCTGAAAGGAAAGTAACAAAATTCAAATAAATATTCTCAAAGATATTTTAATTGCATGTAACTTTCCTTTTTTTGAAACATTTTACCTGTGAAATATATAAAAAAAAAAAAAAAAAAAAATATTGAAAATATTTTGATCATGGTGTTACATATACTGGTTGGTACTTTCTATTCACTTTACTCAAAATTTCAAAACACAGAATTTCTGTTATGATGAAGTGATGGTAGAATACGTGGTTGTTTTGGTACATCTTTGTTATAATGTATACTAATATATTTATTAACCTGCACTATTGAAACCATCTATGTATGCAAATCTTACCAAATAATAGCAGTAATGGTACAAATGTGTTGAATAGCCCCTGCAAAATTGCATGTAGCCTGGTTGTCAAGCATGATGTCATTAGAATACATGCCAAAGATTAAACTATGCAGTAACAACTTGTCATTGTAGGTAGTTTTAAAATGTAATAAATTGAAAATTTAATGGTTTTCCTATTGAATACCATATATATTTCACTCGTATAGCAGAATATACTTGTATACTTATTGAAAAATATTGGTATTCTGCCTAACTCATGAAATACATACACTGTATGGTATTCAATGGGAAACCATTAAATATCCTCCATGTCTCTCCGTTTTTGTAGTGATAAGGATTGCTAATACAATGTTTTCAATGCCATCATATAAGAACTAGTTTCAGACTTGACTTAATATTGACTGCAGTAAAAGACACAAGATATTTGGTAACTTGTATGACCCCTGACCTCTGAAGTCACTAGATCAACATTTTCATTCCTGTCCATTGACATCAATTGATTCACAATGCGACCCTTGACCTTTAATATTAACCCTCAATCTTTGATGATGTGAGACTTACAATTAGACCCTTAACCTTACACTGCAACCCAGGATCTTTGATAACATCAGACTTTAGTGTGATCCTTAATCTTATGCATTTCACTATTGACCTTCAATGCCATCCCACTTAGAATGTGACCCTTGACCTTTTATTTTTAGATGACCTTTAACTTACACATGGTTGACGACGCTAAGTAGCACACCCAGAATGTGACGCTTGACCTTATATTTTTAGATGACCTTTGACTTACACGTGGTTGACGAGGCTAAGTAGCACACCCAGAATGTGACCCTTGACCTTATATTTTTAGGTGACCTTTGACTTACACGTGGTTGACGAGGCCAAGTAGCACACCCAAGATCATCTGGCTGATGCCAATAGTGACGGACATCTTCATCTTGAACGAGTTGGTGAACGTGATCTTGTTAAGACTCGACAGCCATATCTGAAATAAATAATTCATAGTTTCATGAACAACAATAGTTTTCTCACATTATACCACAGTACATTATTTACCAGGCGTGAAAACACAGTTTTATCCTTACTGTATAAACATGTGACTTGAAAATTGTTTCAACTAGTATAAATCAAATGTTTTGAAAGTTTGAGGAGAAAAAATAAAACTTACAGGATCTAAACCTAAGGGATACGGTCCGGTGACATTATCAAACATAGTTAATGGGTCCAGTGTCAGGTCCGTATTGGCTTCCAGAGCTGCTTCACTGAAATGGATTAAGTATGTCAAAAATAACTAAAGCGACCTCTGAGTCACTCCATTACTTGGGCACACTCGCTTCTTGCGACTTATGCTGAGGAAGGACGCGAAAATCCTAACAAATACACGTTTAGATTGTATACTGTAAAAATAACATATTGAGCTTGAATACTGTTCTCAAAATAAACCAATGAATGATTCCTGAATGGAGTGAATTCTTCATGGGTAAGCTGATATATATATATAAATATATGAAGTTCGATTTTTTTCGTACTGTTGTTTTAATCTATCAAAATTAATAGATAATTAAATAACTGTAACAAAAATTATTGCTACTCACTCATAATTTGGAATCCACGATGACCCGAATATGTTGACAGATTTGGCGAACACCTCGTTGTAGATGAGACCAGTATACACTGAGAACAAACCCATCATTGCAATGATGTAACGACCACCAAAGAAAATGTTCCACACCTAAAACAGGAAGCGCCAAGGTGTCTTTACATTTTTAAAGATTCTCGATTCTTAAGGAAGACTTTCGACAGAGCAATTAGCTGATAGGGCCTGATACTTTTTTTGTGTCAGCTTAATTTGCCCCGATTATTAACCAGAAAACAACAACTGTTATAGCATTTGCGCTAAATTTGAAAAGTATGGACCCACCTTAAATATGAATTTGTTCATCAAAAGAAGGCTAAATACTGTTTCAAGAATATATTATTAAGGCAAAGATTTGTTATTAGTTGTTATATGATATATCACCACTGTAGACCATAATGGACTCATCCAGATCAATGCATGGAGGAGTCTACTTAAGTTGCATGGGGGTGAAAGGGTTAACATCGGGTTTGACGGCCCATACTCTCTTCAACACGTTCATAACTACTTTCAATCAGGAAGTGAAACCAAGTTTAATGATTATAAAAATATATATAGGATCAGAGGTTTTACTATTGAAAATCATTTACCTCATTGTCCGACTTCTGAGCAAGAAACTTTTTCTCGTATGCAATCATCCATAGTCCAAACAAAAACATGATGAAACCATGGCCGACGTCGCCGAACATCACAGCAAACAGGAAGGGGAAAGATATGACGGTGTACGGTGCTGGAACAAAATTTGTGGTTAAGTGATAATATTATCAGGTGTTGAAATAAAGTTTCATGTTGTAAATTTCAATACATTCACCATTACCAATCTTATTGCATTGCCGATAGCCAACCTCGATCAATAATTACGTAATTTCAGTACTCAAATTGGGTGTTCGAAGAATCCAAAATGTGTGTAAGCAGGGTTCGAACCATCACTAGACAGTTATCATTTAACTTTAACCAACACATTTACATAAAATACGATTAAAAAGATAATATGACAGAATGACTATGGATATTTCTATGAGAACGGACATGTGATATCTTACCAGGGTTGACCTCCTGATACTCAGCAACTCCGTAAGCGTGTATGATACTTTGGAACACAGCCGTGAACTTGTTGGTGCGGAAGTAAGTGGGTGGAGTTTCCTTTGTATTCATCCTGTGTAGAATGCTTGGTACTGTGCTTCCACTCAGCTCCTGTCAACAACAAACCCGTACGAAAACACTTGATAAACACATGCAAACCAAACAAATGGGTGAAGGTAATGATGGCTAATGGTCCATAGTTCTCTGGCCCTTGTGTACAGATTGTATATAAATCCAATCCCTGTACACAAATTTTACTTTAATCTGTACTGTATCAAACTTTTAGTCAAATATATCCATGTGCACAGGTTTTACTGGTCCTTAAGTATAAATTATTCCTTCATCTTGTCCATGTGATGAGATTATACTTAAATCTGGTCACTGTATACAGGTTTTCTTGAATCTAGTAACTGTCCTAAGGTAATTTTCACCTGGTCTCAATTACTAACTTTTATTCATTATGGTTAATATATTCTTGTTTGACCCTTCTCTGGCCTGAGTGGAGATGTTATAAAGTGGACTGACCGTTCCATGTCTAAGGGCCATCTGCACGTCCTCCAGTGCCATGACAGGACACCAGCATTCGGCGATCAGACTGTTGTGAGACAGATCAAAGTTACACAGGTTCAGCGTGTGGTAGATCGCCTTGATTTTCTTCACTTTGATTACCCATAGTCGAATCTCCTTCTGAGCGCTCGCCAGCACTCGCCTCCTGTGCTCCTCTGTCTGGTACAACACCTGTTCAAGGTCAAGGTCAACAATCATTAGCCTTTTGGCGACTTTTGTTGAAATTCATTATTTTAATTTAAAAACAACGACAATTAATTCAAAGCTATTACTCAATTTCATAAAAAAATCTGGATATCTAAATTTGATTTATAAATTTTGTTTATGGTTAAATCAATCAAACTCATTGCTGGATTTTTAAGTAGTAACACGCTGAATTTGACATAAAGTAATATCACGCTGAATTTTACAATAAAGAAATATCATACTGAATATTTTCAATAAGGTTCTAGCATCATTCACTTTCATTATCAGGAGGATGCTATGCATGGATCAGCTCACGCACTCCCTATACCTGTGTACTTACTAAGACAACACTTTTCCATTCATTGTGAGACATATTTAAACTGCAGGTCTAGCAAACAATGAAATAATTATTATGTGTGAAATCAAAATGATTGACTCAGTAAAATCATACAGTTCTCAGATCCTCCAGTCTCGTTGATACCCCATTAGACATCTCAAATCTCTCCTGGGAATTCTCCGGACATGGGTACAAAACAGCCTTAAATCTACAATAAGAAACACACATACACCTCAAAATTCAAATCTATACACTATTCATAAGTTTAACCATAAATGAAATTATATATTTTTTGTATTTTATTCAAATTCTTATTCAGTTTTGATAGTTGAATTTTGAAAACTTAAAGGACATAAATAAAATTATGAAACTGAAAACAAAGTTCTGATTTTCCACTTACCCCTCACAGATTTTTCTCACTCTGGCCTTGAGCTGTTCACCTTGGTAGAATACTATGAAGACGGATTTGAAGATTTCATCTCCCTAAACACATAGGATAGAAATTAAAGAATAAGTTACTATCTGATACATGATCGCCAAAACAGAAAACAATCCTGTATAGCTGTAACACAGTCAACATGGCAAAACAGATACGCACAGGATGAATGAAGCAAATACTACATACACCCAACTTCAGTCAAAGCGGGGGTATAGCGACTGTTGAGATTTTATCATAACTTACCGTGACAGGATCTTTCATGACCTGATCGATGTCCTCGTAACGCAGGAACACGTTACCGCGACAGGCAAACCACATCATCCTCTCAAACACGGGGATTTTCTCTCTGGGCACCACACCAGCCACAAATCTGGAATGAAGATTTACATACTACTGTACTAACACCTTGGGGAGTGGGGAAGGAAGATTTGGTATGGAGAGGGTACAAAACGGATTGATATGGGTTGGAAGGGTAAAGTCAGGACTGGTATGAGGCCGAGAGGAGTTAAATGGAAGAGGGAAGAGAGAAAAGGAGGGGAATGTCTTTGGAGTGAAACACGTTGAAGAAGACAGGAGTGAAAGAAATAGGGAGGACATTGGATGGAGGCAGATTTAGAAAGAGGGAGGCTGTGAGAAAGGGCAGAGAGAAAAAGAGGAATTGTCAAAAATGGAGAGTGTTAGAAAGAGGGGGAGGTTGTCAGAAGGAAGCAGGGTTAAGAGGAAAGAAACTATCAGAAGGGGACAAGCGGTGTTAGAAGTGGGTAGATAAGGTGTTCCATTTAGGAAGAGGTTATCGCAGTTGGTTGAGATATTTTGAAAGGCTGGGAGAAAACTTAGAAAGCATGGCGGAGGGATACAGGAGGAGTGATTGTGGAGCAGTGTTAGAGGGGGGGAGAGGTGGGGGGAAGACTTACATGTTAGAACCTCAATTCATATAAATCGAAACTCATACAGATGAATCTTTGATGTCTCATATTACAATTTTCTTTTTTTTTTAATAATTCTTCAATGAATGAATAAAAAAAAAAAGTTTTTTTTTTCCACTACCATAAATTACTAGGCAGTCTAGCCTTAGTTGATATGATGTATTGCTAAGTGTAATGTATTAACTGAAGGCCTTACCCAAGTTGTACAGTGGTGGAAGTAATACCAGTATCTTCATGGACCAGCGCCATCTGAACATCGTCAATCATACTGTGATGTCCGCCGTGCTGAGAAAAATAAAGGTGCATTGTGAAATTATTCAGTTTTACACTTATTTTTTTTAACTTTATCCTTTATTCCCTCTCCCCAAAAAAAGAATTCAGCTTTCAAACATCAAGTAGACTAATACAAATGTTCATCAATCATATTGTTGTGTCCACCATGCTAAGGAAAATGAAGATATTATAAGCTGTGAAATCAATAAATTCTACACTTTTTAAAACTGCTTTTATCCTTCATGCTCTCTCCCTAAAAGAATTCAAATGTAAAACATCAGGTAAGTACCACTAATACTTTCAAAATCAATCTTTCCATCAGAAAATTGACTATTTCTTCAAAAATTCTTCAGTGGATTAAATCATTACAATAACACATGTATGCCAACTCTACCTATTTAGGAGGGATACTCCTGATTTGGACCCTTAAATTTAGCATTTTTAACCAGTGAAATTGCTAAACTATTCCCATATTTTAAGATCTATTAATTTCATCTGAAATAACAACTCAAAATATGTCATTTTCAAGGCTTATTTTGTCTCCAGGGGGTAATACACACATTATGTTATGTTTTAATTTTTAGCAAGCATAATCTTCCACATGAAAATCTTTAAAAAGTTGGCAGGTATGATAACATTCTAATACCAAACAATTACTCAAAACAATAGCATTCCATCTTCTATGTGATAATCAAATCATGCCATTTTAAAATGACACAATACATAAATGTCAAACAATATAATACCTCTGCAAAAAAGACTTGTGTCTTCTTCAGCACTTCCCGTAACTCAGACAACTCCAGGAAGTTTCTCCTCAGTGCCTCGGCGTTAGTGTTGACTTCACGAAGCTCGGATTCAATTTTCTCGAATGTTGCCTCCAGGTCTATCATTTCTTTGGGTGCTGGAGCCTTTGGGTTTTCAATCGTGTCAGGAATTTTCATTTCATCTTTCTTCATCTCCTTCTCAATGTACCCTAATTATGACAAAATTAAATAAAGCTTCAGTGTAATGCAATGAAAATAACTTTCAAAAGTTTATACACTTTTGAAAAAAAGGAGTACCCCCACTGGTCAGCTCACACATCTACAACTGACATTGACTCCATCACTTTTTAAGTGTAACTTTGCAAATAAATGACATTGCCTTGACTGATGATAAAACTATCACTGAAATTACACCAAAACAAATGATGCGGGCAAATTTCTGAAGTTTTATCAAATATACCTTCTCATCATATTAGGGAGAAAATCATCCTGGATCGTAACTTACTTACTTTTAAAATAAGTGAAAATATGTCCATCCAGAACAACATGTATAAGTCCTGGTTGTAGAAGTTTGTCACCTGTTACCTTATACTATGTATGCCGATGAGGGATCTGACAGTGAGTAGATTTTACACTTTTCAAACAATATACTTTTGTATAGCCTCGTAAGTAATCACGACAGTATGATCCAATATGGGCACAGGATTCGAACAAACAAATGTTCGTTGGATGCGTGTAACAGAAATAGATATAAGGGCAAAGAAGTAATAACGACAGTGCAGACGAAGGAATTTGTCTGCACGGTCGTTATTACTTCTCTGGCCATATATAATGACCGATTGATCTCTCACTGGTTTTACAGTGGCCTATCTTAAACCCTAACTTTTGATACTTACGTAACTTTCTCTCCATTTCATCACATCGCATGATTTCATTGACAAACTTCCTTTGGAAAGCATTCACATCAGGATTTAGCTACCAACAGAAACAATAAATAAAAAGTTTGTACAATGTTCATGTAAATTTTCTTAAATTTGAAATTTATAACTTTTAATTATTACGGAGGCAAACACATAGCATCTATACATAGGCCTTAAATAAATTAGTCATTCCCAATAATGAAATTTAGACTGAGTGGTTGGTTATTATTTTTTTGTTTTTTTGCGCAATTTGTGGATTTGTTGTATATGGTTAATGTTTTATGTGAACTTGTATGGAACTTACATCCTTGAACTGAACAAGGCCCAACTCTCCTAGTTCAGACACACACGCGTACGATGCCTCAGACTGTAGAAATATCTGGCAAAGGTTCATCTCTTCACTGCGGAAAAGAGCCCCCATCTTGGATTGTTGGTGCTATTACACTCCCGAATGTTGTTTTTATATATACTAGCTCTGAAAAACATAAAAAAAGGATTGTTGCATTATGAATCAATTGACTTGGTCATTTTTATGTATTTCTGCAAGTAATCTTATCATGAATAAGATTAATACAGGTACATGGGCAAACCTCCAAGCTAACTTTGAAACATTGCCATAAATAATCAGGGTTTGCACTGCATATTTTCATAAGTGGTGTCCTTTTCAAATGAAATGGAATCTTTCTGCAGCGTTTAAATGGGTTTTCTGAAAAGAGTTGGGCAGTTTTCAAATTTTATGCTTCAAAAGGATATATATTCTATTCATACTGTAAGCAAGTGATTTAAATATGATCAAACAGGATGTCTAGAATCCTCATGTTGTAGTATATTGATGAAGTTTTTTGTATCAAAAAGGATTATATTTATTTTATTACTAAAGCAAATGAGGTACACCCAGCAAGTGGTTACATGATAACATATCTTATCTGCTCAATCGGAGAAAGCATTGCATATAGCAGGTAGCATGAGTAGTATGTGGTACTAACAGTCAAACACACTCTCCTAGGAGATATATACATATGTCTGTAAGATCTGGAAAGCAAATTTTACATGTACATGCATAATTGAAAACCCACTTTATTCAAAAAATTATCGCTGGAATACATAATTACATTCAGAGCTAGCTGATTTCCTTTCCTTTGAAAGGATAAACATTTGTATTTCTAAAAGGCTACATCCATGAAAAAAATAAAATATATATAATTTTTTTTTTTACCTGAATCAGTCAAGTAATGAAAATTCATATGATGAATAATATGTACCACAAAATAGTAGGAACAGTACATGTCATACCTAATGTACAAATGTTGTCATCAATATACTATCAGTAATTTATTGATTTAAAAGTACAGTACACAGTTGCTGAAAGGGCAGAGTGAGACATCTGTTGCCCACAGTTACTACAGGTCATGATCAGCTAGCTACTATATACAGTATATAAACAGATGACAAAGATAATATCGGTATAGTCGTATATAACTGTGAGGCTGGGGATGCTGACTGATGTGACTCACGTATGAGATGAAACCTTGCCCAAGTGATACATTGTTACTTTTGATCATAATATGCAGTACATTGTACCAGTATCAATGAAAAAATGTGCATGTGTGCAAATATAAAACACATCAAACACCATAAACTGTATTTACACTGTATTGCAATACTTTGTTTAAGGTCCCTACCTACCACAGAATGTATTGCTCTTAATGTAGACTTAAAAAAGTTTTATATTACAAAAAATATTTTTCATATGCTTTATGATCAAATTGAGGCTCTAGCATAATTGAGGTAGGTAGGCTGATTAAAACAACTATAATCATTATACAGTGTACGAAAAAACCAGCCTCAGAATGTTCAGAAAGTTACTGAAAATATTGATAAAGATATTACGTACAGTAACTCATTTTCTACTTACTGACCCTTGCCAATTTTCATCTTAGACCTTTATGGAGCTTTATATGAAAAAGTCATGATTGTAAGCAAAATGATCATTTTCCAACTTTTAACATGTGCACACAGGTTCGCTTTTGTAATTACAACCTACAGTACTTGTGAAAGCATTTCCGGTGGGCGATATAAAACACAGTTTGGTTATGATTCATAATCATACACTCGTACTGTACATGAAGGTCCATCAATCTTCGATGAATTGGTTCAGGAAGTTGTATAAGTCCCTGCCCTGGAAAGCTAACTGTACTTTGAACTTGAATTAATTGTTATCAAAATCATGGCTTTAACTATCTTAATACATGAATGTACTAATTACAGTAATGTGTATACTTATTAAATAGTTCATCAAATAATTTTCATATGTTTGTCCGGTCGCTGATTTGTACCACTTCGTTGTTTGTCTTTTCCAGGTGAAAAGATAAGAATCAACAAACCTTATTTCTCCTTGTTTCCTCTTTTTTGGGGCGAAAATATGTGAATCAACAAACTTTCATTCTTGTTTCTTTTGTCTTTTTGGGATAAAGACAAAACAATGAGAATTTAAATTTACTTATTTATCTAATATAGTCTTTTCATGGAAAAAAGACAAAAAGACAAAACAACGAAATGGCACAAATTATAGCCACCGTAATAACATAACTTCAATTTTATGAAAATGTTAATGAATGGATATTGATAGACAAAATAATACCACACCATATAACTATCACTATGTATTATCATTATATATCCAATTATCTGCCACTGCATATTCTTATGTGATTATATATATGACCTAACTGTTACATTAGTCTCAAACGTGGATCTTCTCCCTAAATCAATATAATCTTAACAATTAATCAAATCATACCCGAAAGTCATAACGATTTTATCTTTAGAATAGCAAATGAAACCAAGTTTACCTAACTTTAGTTTTGTTCAAGAATATAAAAAGCAGAATCAATAACAGTCCATAAAGAACAATTGATAAATAATATCTCCTAATCAAAAATTATGAATCTTTTTCATTCAACTTCTCTTTCTAAATAATCTGAATCAGGATAGAATTGAATTGTATAATTTTATAAATGTACCTGTGACCCGGTCTGTAGATTTGCCACACCTGTAGCTATAAACCCAACCACAAGATCCGTGTACTGCAATAGGTGCTACACAACACAGGTATTTAGAACCATTGATGTCACCATACCTGTGTCGGTCAGTGTACATGTACCTGGCATACAGATACAGGTGAGCCAAATAGACCCCAGAGGGACTGGAAATCTACAGGTACACAAATGATAACACTCCCCTGTATAACTGTAATATACAGGTAGCACATATAGACAAGGTATATTAGTGTATTATATAATGTAAATTGTTATCAAAGACTCACCTGTATGACTGTAATATACAGGTAGCACATATAGACAAGGTATATTAGTGTATTATATAATGTAAATTGTCATCAAAGATTTACATTATCATTTGTTGTGTATTCCTTTCTATACTAAAATGTCATTTACATAGAAATTACATGTTAATTACCAGTGCATTACAAAAAAATATTTCCACCATGCACATTTATTTATATATATAAATATAATTTTGTCTGCACTGTCTTTATTACACAACACTGAGTACAATGTGTATATACCAGTAAGTAAACATTCAATTTCAAGTGAGATGCAAATACAGGTTGCATCCCATGTACAATGTAATATACATATACAAGTACAAATGTCAGCAATATCCGATTGTCTGTCTTAAAGCTACATTATTTATCATCTGATCCCTCTGAAGGCAAAGGACCCAGTCTGGACCTAGTTAAAATGGTATGCAACAGTCCCTCTCAGGGGACAAGCCAGCCTTAATAATACCTAGTACAAATAACATTATATAAGTTAACACCTGACAAAGAGGTGTGAAAATCTTACCTGAAAAGTACCTATATAATTATCACCCCCTAGAATGCCTTGCCACTGGACGATTCGGTTGAGTGAACAGGGTATAAGCTAGTGTCACTGGTAAAGGTACATTTTTGGTGGTACTTTTGCAGTTTATGGAGAAAATGAACTTTTAAAACTGACAAGGACAATAAAATTTAAAACATTCACTGCACCACACAGATTAGGAGCTTTGAAAGATTTCACACTGCCTCTTCCAGAGTTTGCTGAGAAGGGCAAATGAAATTAATCCATCTGAGGAGACTCAACTGGTTGACACAATGCCATGTAAAAGTCACATACAAATTCTCATCACAATCAAACAAACAAACACATACGGTACTACTAGTGATTTTTAGTGTAAATTTGGGGCCTTATAAATTAAGGGCTCTTCCCATAGATAATATCTGCTGTATTTTCCCAAAATCAATGCAAAACTCACTTTATTTTTCTAAAATCATGCTTTCTGAGTGATATTTTCCCCAAAGTCACAAGGCACGGGCCCCAGTGAAAAAGAAGGTAGAAAAATTACTGCATACAAACAAGTCGCATACAAATGCCAGTCCCATAAAAATACAAATCACAGAAAATATAAAGTCATGTTACTGATAAAATGTTTGTACAAGTACCAATAAATTATATAGTCATATCACATGCAGTTTAGCCAGTTTATGAATGTTCACGTATCAAAGTCTCATTACTGCATGGACACTATAGCTATTGGAGAAAATGGTCCGTATCTATGTATCATTACATGTAAAGAAATACCTTGGCCTTACCAGACTTGATCAAAACTGAATCTTTTGTGTTTCTTCTTCACAGGAATGATTCTTTTCTACTCGTACGGGTAACTTAATTCCTTTACATTGTCAAGAAGTAGAATTGCTAAGATATTCACCATCAATAGGCATGTGTGACACCATATACCGGATAAGTATAATGCCATTGGCAAAATGTGTCAATCAGATTCACTACCGGGTATATACATGACAGTGTAAATCATAATAATATGTAAAGACCTCACTTGTACACCACCTTGAAGAAATGTTAACACCAGAAATTTGCCTGAAGCTTATACGTTGTTTATTTAATTTTAATGTATGTTTAGTTTTAGTAAAAGATGGGCATGATGATGGTTTCTTTAATTGTATGGCCTTGGAAGAATTTAGTATATATCCAATTCCACTTTAAATGAAATTTATATTGGAAATGTTAGGTAAACTAAACTTATTTTAATGAACAGTAAAACATTGGACTAAATCAGTTGTTTTTTTAACCTGAATTTTTACAACAGCCTGTTCCTTTATAAATTTTGAAAATACAACATTATTTTTCTTGAATTGGGAATATATTCCTCAGTTTTGGGTCCTTTTGGGAAAATAAGGAACAGGGAAGCTACAGTCTGTATAAAAAAAACCACTGTAAATGTATGAGCATATGTCTTATATGATATTTCCATATTCAAATCTGCTGATCCACTACATTTAAATTTGCAATAAACTCTGTGTGGGCTTAATCAGTTGACACAGACTCAATTTTTGTGTTGTCGATATCGTTATGACTGAAATCAGTAATTGCAATGTTTTAAAACTTTAATACTGATGACATATTGTGATTTAACCTCAAGTATATCTCTTAAATCCTTGTGAGGTTAAAATGTATACATTCAAAATAAATCAATATTTACAGGTATTAAAAATTACGTCAGACAGGGTTAGAATTTAATGGTGTTAGTCATGGGGAGTAAAGCTGATTGAATAGAATGAGAATACTTATAATTACTGCACTTATATACAATATATATAATAATTAGTCCTAGAAAATGTTGACAATCAATTGCAATACAATTTTCCTACTATTTAAAGCAGTGATGGAAAGAAACATTCTTATCAGTTAAATATTATTGTTTATAGGTATCGTTTACTTTAATTAAAGGTCCAAGTTCAAATCACTTTTAAGCCTGTCATATTTCTCACTTCGATATAGTTTGAAAAAACTATCTCCTTTAAAAAAAAAATATTGGGCAGAGACCAGACTGAGCAATAGACATACTTTCCTTACATGAATGGAAAGGTTAGTTATTTATCTCTACAACTGCACCATCTCTGTCTCTTTATATATTCATTATTATTAAAAAAATAAAAAATATAGGAATATTATTGTCCCAATATTTTAAGTGTAATTGTATTGTTGACAAGCTAACTAGTTAAAAAATCTCCGATGGCCAGTCACATGTTCTGCCTTCATTGGACCTATTCAAACTTGTATAGAGGACCATTCACAGTTATCGCTTGGATTATTGTAAAAATAATACAGTCACCTTCAGGCATCAGCTGATCAATACTTCATCATCTTTAACTTCAATTTTTGTCCTGATGGAGCTTGCTTTAAATACGACACATATGACACTTATTTAGATTTAAGATAACTGGATCAACAGACAAAAGACCATTGAAGCGGTCATGATGAACAACCCCCACTCACTACTGCCCCTAAGTTTATAATCAATCACATAGATATGATCTGGATTCGCCGGTCACAAATGATCAAATCATCTCGCGGTCTTCTACACTGCACTGTTTTTAACATACAATACCTGTTAGTTAAAATCGAAATATGTCAAAACGACAATTGACATTTACATAACTCACCACCAGTTGTTGTATTTATTCCCAACTTCTTCAACTTTCAGTTCACTGCTGTTAACTCAGCTGACTTCCGCCTAACGTTATCGATCACATGACACAACATTATCTTGAAGGGGAGGGAAGGGTATTTAAATTTTCCTAGAGTAGTGATTAGTTTAAAACAATATAAACTTGTTAAATATGAATTAGATAAATATATTGTTTTGTTAATTATGTATTTAACTTTCAACAAACTGACACAGTTATACTTTTTTCTAAAACCTTATCCCCCATTTGTTATAATAGAATAGTCCACTTTTAGTTTTGAATTTGGAGTTATCTGCCCTTAGACCACCCTTTCCTGTTTACATTTCCCCATGTGTTACATTTTTTCATCATCATGTTGAGTCTCTGTACCAATGTACCATATAAACGAGTGATGATACGTTCGAGGTAGATTCTACTGAACATACACGTATTGGGACATGATATAACAATTGCTTCGATTTGGAAACTGATTTAGAAAGGTACATCCAGAAATTATCTTGAAATATTTAGCTGTTCACCACTCTGGATAATAACTTCAAAAAACACTTGTCAGTCGGGCTAGTAGTTTTCAATAGTTAACTCGTTCATGTGCACATATTACTCATCCAATATTATGCAATGTCATTTTATGACAACACTATAAAATGACTAGTTGGCTGGCAGCTCACAGAACCACTTGTCTAGCTGTAGATTTCTTATTGCCAAGCTCTGCCTAATCTACCTTGGGTTTTTTTAAAACATGAATTCAAGTTCTTAAGAAAAAGAAACAATAAATTTATTGGCATAGAGTAAAAATACACTAGCCAGATGTTCATACATTTTTTAACATGGTTTTTAATTTTCAGATGGTTGACAAAATTGGAGGTTATGAGTTTTGGAGAACGACATTGAGTGCTGCCAAGTATGTTGTTGCCCCTATGGTGGATCAGAGTGAGCTGGCATGGAGGATGCTGAGTCGACGCTATGGTGCTGAACTGTGCTACACACCAATGCTGCATTCCTCCGTGTTTAATAGAGACCAGCGCTACAGGACAGAAGCCTTGCAATCCTGTCCTGAGGACAAACCACTAATAGTTCAGGTAGACTAGTAATGTCTGAGAGACAAGATGAAAAAGGTCCCGAGTCAAAATCTGGATAGTAATCATTGTTCTATACTGGGAAAGGAACTTATAATTTAACGCTGCAGTCTTCCACAGTTGTGGTTCAATCCCAAAAAGTTGTTGTTGCATGGTATTTACAGAGAATTATTTTTTGCTTGCTCACACAACTCTAAAAATCCAGACTGAATATATAATGTAGGTGATGGGTGCTGTAGTGCCTGTGCTGAAGTAAAAAATGCTGTTGGAAGCACAGAGAAGTACCATCACAAAATAGAACATCAATAGTCCTTAAGCACACATACACACAAAGAGGTATAAGCCAGGTGGCTTAGGACCAGAAGCATATGGTAAGGCAGGTCCTGCATTAACTTCATACAGGTGTATTGAACTTTTATAAATGTTAATTAATTGTATAAATGGTAACTTTATGTATCATAAAACACCTGATAGTGGCTCATTCTTGTTATGTAGATGCTACATATCAAATAAAACCTGGGGAACTCATATTCATAGCCAAAAACAATGTACAACCCTGGTTCACTGGTATCCCTTGCCCTTTACACACTGAACATACAGATGTTTCATATACATTATGTAACCGGATCGGAAAAAGATATTGGACCAGACCAGAATTTGAACCAATGCCTTCCAATATGTAGACTTATGCTCTCATTACCGAACTATCTGGTCACCGGTAGTCACCTGCCTAGTCATCTCTCTCCATTTTCTAAGTCTTGCCAAGAACACAGTACTTGGAACAAGACAGAGCTTTCAACAGACCTTTGAATGTATGTTTTGACTCCTCAAAATTAGCTTTGCGTTTTGGCTTTCAAAGGAATTATCTGTAAGACATGTGTTTTGACCTTGCAAAATTAAAATTATATATAACAAAATTTCTAGTTTACATACCAATTAACTAAAAGTATATTTGGAATGACTGGAAAAGTGTACAGTATACTTTTAGTATTGATCATTTAAGACAATCATGGGCAGCTTGCATAATGTTTCTTACTATCAAGAGTTGGGTGTCCAGCCAAGTACAAGACCACTATAGTCTGTCAAGCGACATTTTGATGGGCTTTCAATTTTTGATTGTGTCATCATAATGTAATGTCATCATGACACATGTCTTATATATGTAGAGGTAGGAGAATTCTTTAAATCAAAATGATTCTATCATTACAATTATATTTTACCAGTTTTGTGCAAATGACCCGGAGACATTCCTGAAGGCAGCCCTGTTGGCGGAGGATCACTGTGATGCCATTGACCTGAACCTAGGATGTCCACAAGTCATTGCTAAACGTGGACATTATGGCGCATTTCTACAGGACGAATGGGAACTCCTGGAGAAAATGGGTATGTTTGTTTTGTATTGTGATACATTTCCTTTTCTTTATAAAATTACCTGATCAAGGGCCCCAAGTCCTTTTCCACTTGAGTGCCTGATAAAACAAAGTTACCACCTGTTATTGACAGTGTTATATGATAATAAGCTTTTCATTTCTGGGCCCAAATGTTCAAAGGGTGATTAGCTTAATCAGTGATTAGCGCAAATTTCAACTTTTGTGTATCTTTGAAATGCAACAATCAACCTAGTTCAAACTTTCCAGATATAAAGTATTTAGTAGAGTTAATGTAAATGTAAAATTACGAGTTTTAACCTTTTATATTGAAGAAATTATTAAAGGTTGAAAAATGTCGTTAAACAGTGATTAAGCTACATCTTTTGAACAACTGGGCCCTGGTGGTACTGATTGACTCAAATTTTCACCATTCACTTTATCAGTTAAACTGTGCCATGAAAGACTGAAAGTGCCTATCACCTGTAAAGTTAGAATATTTGAGAGTATGGAGAAGACCATCGAGTACGCTCAGATGTTGGAGAAGGCAGGATGTCAGGTAATACATGTGGTATTCATTATTAGGCCTGGACGAATAAATTATTTTAAGTTTTCACTTTTTAAATACTGAAAAGCGTTTTAAGATGTTTAATAGGTAATGAAATTTCTTTTAAGTAGATTTCATTGTAGATGAATTTCTGAAATCGGTTTTAAAATCCTCAGGTAGGCTGTCGAGAAAGGCAGTTTATAAACACAGAAAGTTCCTCTAATAACACCATAAAGAGGCTGTTTTATCTGAAATTTACATTTTCTAGATACTTACCGTCCATGGCAGAACAAAGGAGCAGAAAGGTCCAAAGACCGGATTGGCTGACTGGCAATACATCAAAGCTGTCAGGTAGAATATAAATAAATATCTCACTTTATTGGTGTAGTTGTCAGAAAAATTTATTCCTTTTTACTGATAAATTCTTAGTTATTAGGTACTATTAAATTCATTATTTAGAATTCAAAATGCCAAGTTTGAAAGACAGGCAACTACAAGTTTGCTATAGCTATGAAATGGATGCTTGTACATTTTCAGGGATAATGTGAAGATTCCCGTGTTCGGTAATGGTAACATCCAGTACCTGTCTGATGTCAAAAAGTGTCTGGAGGAGACGGGAGTGGATGGCATCATGACCGCAGGTTTGTACTTCTCTCACCAAAGGTCCATGTAAAGGTTTGTGCTGTTTTACTTTTGATCCAAAGTTTATATTATGACTTGCTTTATAGACAATGCTCTGTTCCATGGTACAAACCATTATATACCTGGTATGTCTTGTGTCTTGTTTCAGAGATAGCCTACACAATTCTGCATGCTCTGTTCCATGGTACAAACCATTATATACCTGGTATGTCTTGTGTCTTGTTTCAGAGATAGCCTACACAACTCTGCATGCTCTGTTCCATGATATTGACAATTACCGGTATATACAGCCTGTGTCCTGTTTGAGAGGGTATCCTACATAACCCACCCCTCTATATCTGTAACATCACAATTAAATATTTAAGACTCAAGACTAAGAAAACTGAATAGCAACATCAATATTCTCCATTACATTTTAGATTACATACATTTGACAATTACACTTAATATTATACTTGCACTGATCTTCGAAACGAATTTAGATCTACATGTGTTGATGAAATGAAGAACAACTTTTCAATATGTGCTGTTCCTTGTTTCAGAGGGTAACCTACACAACCCAGCCCTGTTCCTCGGAATAGATCCCCCAATCTGGAAGATGGCGGAGGAGTACCTGGAACTGGTTGACAAATATCCATGTCCTTTGTCCTATGTCAGGGGACATTTGTTTAAGCTCTTTCATCATGGGTAATTATGTCACATTAACTTTTCGTATCGGCATATTTGGTTTAGTGATCAGTTATTGTAGACTGAAATAAAATTGATTAAAGTTTGTTTTCAATTATTATATACTCTTAATAAGGACTTCAGGCTTTAAAAGGTGTCAACACTGATTAGTAAACACACAAACATTATTTTCAAATTTATACACCATTTGTTGAGAATTCATATGATTGAAAGTGATAAAAAAAGACAATATGTACAATCACACTGCAGTATTTCTTATTTCAGTCTTGTTATACACGAAGATATCAGGTTGATGGTCGGTACAGGGAAGTCACTGGACAGTCTCAAGCTAGCTGTCCTCAGGATGAAAGAGAGATGCTTGGTAAGCATGAAAGATTTTAACTGGTATCTTTGATGAAAAATTGCTCACAAGTATGATAAGAATGATGAATGACAAGAATGATGAAGTTAAGCCTTCTTATCCTGTAACAGAAAGTTTTATATTCAGCAAAACCTCATTTTAATGGCACCCTTTGTCCAGCAAAACTTTGCCCTGCGGCTGCGATCTTGGGTTAAAACTGCCTCTGTTGGTGCCTTTAAGGCAACATCTTATTTGAACATCATGTCAGTGAAATGTAAAAAAAAAATCAAGCTTGGCTCATATATAGCATTCTGAAGTTCCACGGCAAAAAGTTACAAGTTGATTTTCCAGGCAAAGGCCAAATACTTTACAGGAGAACTTTCCTGTATGCTGGTACCATACAACACTTGTCAACAGGCTAGGGTGGACTAAAATAATAAGGATAGCATCTCTTGTTCACGGATACAGCAGTAGCTAAATACAATTTTAAAGGATAATCTTGTAGTTTGCATCCTTACACCAACATTTTGCTTCCTTTTTCGGTAGTTGTGTGATTGGTTTGGTTTGATATGGTTTAACATCCTATCAACAGCTAAGGTCATTTAAGGACGTACCTCCTTGGGTGTAATGCGTACGTGCATGTGTGTATGTTTGCTGGAGATAGGGGTAGTTATGTGAGTTTTCAATTTTTGTAGTCTATAAGGGAACATGCAGCAATAACTAGATTTTACTGTGTTATAGTGGTTGTGAAATGTCGTTGACCTTTTACTTTGACTTTCAGAAGGACATGGAGAAGTCCAAGACTTGTCCTGAAATGTTTGAGTCCAAGCTTCCTCATCCTTACTGGATCTGCCAGCCGTATGTTAGACCCAGGTAACACGTTTCATCAAACAGATGTTGTTTACAGATCTGTATATAGAAAAAAGGTCTATTGTCATGTTTCCATGTTGGGTTACCATGCATCCAGAAGAGCAGATGAATTTGTTCCAACTGATGGTACTGAGTGAAGAATACTCTTGATACCTCAAATGGCTAAATTAGTGCATATTGTTACCGATACAGTGGTATGGTTACCTCGGTTTTACAACAGCCTGGTCCTTTATGAATTGGGAAAATAAAGCATTATTTGTATTAAATTTGGGAATATATTCTTCAGCTATTGGTCATTTTAGGAAAATAAGGCACTTTTTAGCAAGGGGAAACAGCCTTTACTCGGCAGTAAAACTGAGCAAAAACGAATCACTGCAATATGTCATAAATTTAGGTCACTTAGGCACTCATTTGTTTGATGTTTAACTAAACAAATTGAACTTTATCGATCACCATCAAGTTTGAAATTGCACAAAATGAAGATTTACTGAAATTGATCTATCTTTTTCTATCCATGCAGTCCTGAAGAGGCAGAAGAGAATCAGAAAAGGCGAGAGGCCACAAAGCGTCCGCTTGACCTTCAAAACATTCCAGCAGACATGGCCGGCATGTCTAAAAACAAAATAAAGAAAAAGATAAAGAATCCACACAAAAGTTTTGATGGCACCAAGAAGGCTCAATATGAAAAGTGTGACAGTTGTCTTAACCCAAGGGTAGGTATATTTTTACAATTACAAAAACTGGGGTTTTTTTATTTTTGGTTATCTTTCTTATTTTGCTATTTACATAGTCAATGTTTTTCTTTGGATAATAGATCATGTGATAGTATGTTATTAACAAGAAGCACTTAAAGAGCTCACCACTGTACAAGTAAAGAGCTCACCACAGTACAAACAAAAAAGCTCATCATAGTTCAAGTATAAAGCTCATCACACACAGTACAAGTATAGAGCTCATCATAATTCAAGTTATAGAGCTCACCACTTTACAAGTATAGAGCTCATCATAATTCAAGTTATAGAGCTCATAACAGTAGAGGTATAGAGCTCAGAACAGTACAAGTATAGAGCTAATAACAGTACAAGTATAGAGCTAATAACAGTACAAGTATAGAGCTCATCACAGTACAAGTATAGAGCTAATTATAATTCAAGTTATAGAGCTCATAACAGTACAAGTATAGAGCTCATAACAGTACAAGTATAGAGCTCATAACAGTACAAGTATAGAGCTCATCACAGTACAAGTATAGAGCTCATCACAATACAAGTATAGAGCTCATAACAGAACAAGTATAGAGCTTATCATAATACAAGTATAGAGCTCACCACTTTACAAATATAGAGTTCATCACAGTACAAATATAGAGCTTATAGTACAAATATAGAGCTCATCACAATACAAGTATAGAGCTCATAACAGTACAAGTATAGAGCTTATCATAATACAAGTATAGAGCTCACCACTTTACAAATTTAGAGTTCATCACAGTACAAATATAGAGCTTATCATAGTACAAATATAGAGCTCATCACAATACAAGTATAGAGCTCACCACAGTACAAGTATAGAGCTCATCATAGTACAAGTATAGAGCTCATCATAGTACAAGTATAGAGCTCATAACAGTACAAGTATAGAGCTCATAACAGTACAAGTATAGAGCTCACCACAGTACAAACAAAAAAGCTCATCATAGTTCAAGTATAGAGCTCATCATAATTCAAGTTATAGAGCTTACCACTTTACAAGTATAGAGCTCATCACTTTACAAATTTAAAGCTCATCACAGTAAAAATATAGAGCTCATCATAATACAAGTATAGAGCTCATAACAGTACAAGTATAGAGCTCATAACAGTACAAGTATAGAGCTCACCACAGTACAAACAAAAAAGCTCATCATAGTTCAAGTATAGAGCTCATCATAATTCAAGTTACAGAGCTCACCACTTTACAAGTATAGAGCTCATCACTTTACAAGTATAAAGCTCGTCACAGTAAAAATATACAGCTCATCATAATACAAGTATAGAGCTCATCACAGTACAAGTATAGAGCTCATAACAGTACAAGTATAGATTTCATAACAGTACAAGTATAGAGCTCATCACAGTACAAGTATAGAGCTCATCACAGTACAAGAATAGAGCTCATTACAGTACAAGTATAGAGCTCATCATAGTACAAGTATAGAGATCATACAATACAAGTATAGAGCTCATCACAGTACAAGTATAGAGCTAATTATAATGCAACCATAGAGCTCATCACAGTTCAAGTATAGAGCTCACCACAGTTCAAGTATAGAGCTCATCACAGTACAAGTATAGAGCTTATCATAGTACAAGTAAAGAGCTCATCACAATACAAGTATAGAGCTAATCATAATACAAGTATAGAGTTCATCACAGTACAAGTATAGAGCTCATCACAGTACAAGTATAGAGCTCAACACAATACAAGTATAGAGCTCATCACAGTACAAGTATAGAGCTCATCACAATACAAGTATAGAGCTCATCACAGCACAAGTATAGAGCTCACCACAGTTCAAGTATAGAGCTCACCTCTGTTCAAGGATAGAGCTCAGCACAGTACAAGTATATAGCTCACCACCGTCATGTGTAAAGCTCATCTTAATACAATCATAGAGCTCATCACAGTTCAAGTATAGAGCTCATCACAGCTCAAGTATAGAGCTCACCTCTGTACAAGGATAGAGCTCATCACAGTACACGTATAGAGCTCACCACAGAACAAGTATAGAGCTCACCACAGTACAAGTATAGAGCTCATCACAATACAAGTATAGAGCTCATAACAGTACAAGTATAGAGCTCACCACTTTACAAATATAGAGTTCATCACAGTACAAATAAAGGGGCTATCATAGTACAAATATAGAGCTCACCACAGTACAAATATAGAGCTCATCACAATACAAGTATAGAGCTCACCTCTGTACAAGTATAGAGCTTATCATAATACAAGAATAGAGCTCACCACTTTACAAATATAGAGTTCATCACAGTACAAATATAGAGCTTATCATAGTACAAATATAGAGCTCATAACAATACAAGTATAGAGCTCAAAACAGTACAAGTATAGAGCTCACCTCAGTACAAGTATAGAGCTCATCATAGTACAAGTATAGAGTTTATCATAGTAATAAGTATAGAGCTCACCACAATACAAACAAAAAAGCTCATCATAGTTAAAGTATAGAGCTCATCATAATTCAAGTTATAGAGCTCACCACTTTACAAGTATAGAGCTCATCACTTTACAAATCTAAAGCTCATCACAGTAAAAATATAGAGCTCATCATAATACAAGTATAGAGCTCATACAACACAAGTATAGAGCTCATCACAGTACAAGTATAGAGCTCATAACATTACAAGTATATAGCACATCACAGTACAAGTATAGAGCTCATTACAGTACAAGTATAGAGCTCATCATAGTACAAGTAGAGAGCTCATACAATACAAGTATAGAGCTCATCACAGTACAAGTATAGAGCTTATTATAATTCAAGTATAGAGCTCACCACAGTACAAACAAAAAAGCTCATCATAGTTCAAGTATAGAGCTCATCATAATTCAATTTATAGAGCTCACCACTTTACAAGTATAGAGCTCATCACAGTACAAGTATAAAGCTCGTCACAGTAAAAGTATAGAGCTAATCATAATACAAGTATAGAGCTCATCACAGTACAAGTATAGAGCTCATCACAGTACAAGTATAGAGCTCATCACAGTACAAGTATAGAGCTCATCACAGTACAAGTATAGAGCTCATCACAGTACAAGTATAGAGCTCATCACAGTACAAGTATAGAGCTCATCACAGTACAAGTATAGAGCTCATCACAGTACAAGTATAGAGCTCATCACAGTACAAGTATAGAGCTCATCACAGTACAAGTATAGAGCTCATCACAGTACAAGTATAGAGCTCATCACAGTACAAGTATAGAGCTCATCACAGTACAAGTATAGAGCTCATCACAGTACAAGTATAGAGCTCATCACAGTACAAGTATAGAGCTCATCACAGTACAAGTATAGAGCTCATCACAGTACAAGTATAGAGCTCATCACAGTACAAGTATAGAGCTCATCACAGTACAAGAATAGAGCTCATTACAGTACAAGTATAGAGCTCATCATAGTACAAGTATAGAGCTCATACAATACAAGTATAGAGCTCATCACAGTAAAAGTATAGAGCTAATTATAATTCAAGTATAGAGCTCATCACAGTACAAGTATAGAGCTCATCATAGTACAAGTAAAGAGCTCATCACAATACAAGTATAGAGCTAATCATAATACAAGTATAGAGCTCATCACAGTACAAGTATAGAGCTCATCACAGCTCAATTATAGAGCTCACCACAGTTCAAGTATAGAGCTCACCTCTGTTCAAGGATAGAGCTCATCACAGTACAAGTATAGAGCTCACCACTGTTCATATGTAAAGCTCATCTTAATACAATCATAGAGCTCATCACAGTTCAAGTATAGAGCTGATCACAGTACATGTTTATAGCTCATCACAGTACAAGTATAGAGCTCACCACAGTACAAGTATAGAGCTCACCACAGTACAAATATAGAGCTCATCACAGTACAAGTATAGAGCTCAACACAATACAAGTATAGAGCTCATCACATCTCAAGTATAGAGCTCACCTCTGTACAAGGATAGAGCTCATCACAGTACATGCTTATAGCTCATCACAGTACAAGTATAGAGCTCATCATAGTACAAGTATAGAGCTCACCACAGTACAAGTATAGATCTCATCATAATGCAACCATAGAGCTCATCACAGTTCAAGTATAGAGCTCACCACAGTACAAGTATAGAGCTCACCACATTACAAGTATAGAGCTCACCACAGTACAAATATAGAGCTCATCACAGTACAAGTATAGAGCTCACCACAGTACAAGTATAGAGCTCACCACAATACAAGTATAGAGCTCATCACAGCTCAAGTATAGAGCTCACCTCTGTACAAGTACAGAGCTCATCATAGTACAAGTATAGAGCTCACCACAGTACAAGTATAGAGCTCACCACAGTTCAAGTATAGAGCTCACCACAATACAAGTATAGAGCTCATCACAGCTCAAGTATAGAGCTCATCACAGTACAAGTATAGAGCTCATCATAGTTCAAGTATAGAGCTCACCACAGTACAAGTATAGAGCTCACCACAGTACAAATATAGAGCTCATCACAGTACAAGTATAGAGCTCACTTCTGTACAAGGATAGAGCTCATCATAGTACAAGTATAGAGCTCATCATAGTTCAAGTATAGAGCTCACCACAGTACAAGTATAGAGCTCACCACAGTTAAAGCATAGAGCTCACCTCTGTACAAGGATAGAGCTCATCACAGTACAAATATAGAGCTTATCATAGTACAAGTATAGAGCTCACCACTGTTCATGTATAGAGATCATCATAATACAAGCATAGCAGCTTTAAAAATCTTCTTTATCGAGAAGTAAGTATATTTTAAAAGTTTTACTTTTTGAATCATTTTTATTTTTTGAATCAGTCATTTTGTAATTTTGTGTTCTCCAGGGCAAGAAATGTGCATTTGGACGGTGTAAAAACTGCTGTAAAAATAAGACTAGAACAGAGACGTTGGACTGTGTTGGTAAGTCAGTAGTATCACAGTAGCCCTTCTGGAATTTAGATTCTGGGAAATAGTACTTCCATCTTGTATGACTATTGTTATGCTTGTTTGTGAAAATTTATATAAAGCTAACCTTGTTTATGGTATTAATAAATCTCTGTTTACACTTTGTATAATAGTTTTTACCTGTATTTATACTTTCTATACAAAGATGAGTTTTTGTTTACTTGTATCGACACCATGTATACAAATGTACTACAGTAATTGTATTCACCTACATTTTCACATGGTATAGTACAAGATATGATAGTTACATATTTGTATGTTATATACTACAGATCATGGCATTCACCTGAAATTATACCTCATTACCTGTATTTACACCTTTTATTCTACGGGTCATGGTATATACCTGTATTCTACAGGTGTTGGTATTTAATATATTTACCTTATATACTACAGGACATGGTATTTAATGTATTAACCTTAGATACTACAGGATATGGTATTTAATGTATTTACCTTAGATATTACAGGACATGGTATTTACATGTATTTACCTTATACACTTACCTTATACAATACATGACATGGTATATACATGTGTTTACTTTATACACTACAGCACATGGTATATACCTGTATTTACTTTATAAACTAGAGGACATGATATATACCTGTATTGACCTTATATACTACAGGATATGGTATTTACCTGTATTGACCTTATACGCTACAGGATATGGTATTTACCTGTATTGACCTTATACACTACAGGACATGGTATATACCTGTATTTACCTTATATACTACAGGACATGGTATTTACCTATATTAACCTTATATACTACAGGACATGGTATTTACCTGTATTGACCTTATACACTACAGGACATGGTATTTACCTGTATTTACCTTATATACTACAGGACATGGTATTAACCTGTATTAACCTTATATACTACAGGACATGGTATATACCTGTATTAACCTTATATACTACAGGATATGGTATTTACCTGTATTTACCTTATATACTATAGGATATGGTATTTACCTGTATTTACCTTATACACTACAGGACATGATATTTACCTGTATTGACCCTATACACTACATGACATGGTATTTACCTGTATTTACCTTATATACTACAGGACATGGTATTTACCTGTATTAACCTTATATACTACAGGATATGGTATTTACCTGTATTTACCTTATATACTATAGGATATGGTATTTACCTGTATTGACATTATACACTACATGACATGGTATTTTCCTGTATTGACTTTATACACTACACGACATGGTATTTACCTGTATTGACCCTATACACTACACGACATGGTATTTACCTGTATTGACCCTATACACTACACGACATGGTATTTACCTGTATTTACCTGTATTTACCTTATATACTATAGGATAAGGTATTTACCTGTATTTACCTTATATACTATAGGATATGGTATTTACCTGTATTTACATTATACACTACAGGACATGATATTTACCTGTATTTACCCTATACACTACATGACATGGTATTTTCCTGTATTGACTTTATACACTACATGACATGGTATGTACCTGTATTTACCTCATATACTACAGGACAGGGTATTTACCTGTATTAACCTTATATACTACGGGATATGGTATTTACCTGTATTGACATTATACACTACATGACATGGTATATACCTGTATTTACCTCATATACTACAGGACAGGGTATATACCTGTATTAACCTCATATACTACAGGACATGGTATTTACCTGTATTAACTTTATACACTACAAGACATGGTATATACCTGCATTTACTTTATATACTACAGGACATGGTATTTACATGTATTTACCTTATACACTACAGGACATGGTATATACCTGTATTGACCTTAAACACTACATGACATGGTATTTACCTGTATTACCTTGTATACCTTAGGACATGGTATTTACTTGTATTTACCTTGTATACTTCAGGACATTGTATTTACCTTTATTACCTTGTAAACTACAGGACATGGTATTTACCTGTATTACCTTGTATACTACAGGACATGGTATTTACCTGTATTACCTTATATACTACAGGACATGGGATTTACCTGTATTACCTTGTATACTTTAGGACATTGTATTTACCTTATACACTACAGGACATGATATTTATCTGTATTTACCCTATACACTACATGACATGGTATTTACCTGTATTACCTTGTATACTTTAGGACATGGTTTTTACCTGTATTACCTTGTATACTTTAGGACATGGTATTTACCTTATACACTACAGGACATGATATTTATCTGTATTTACCCTATACACTACATGACATGGTATTTACCTGTATTTACCTTATACACTACATGACATGGTATTTACCTGTATTACCTTGTATACCTTAGGACATGGTATTTAATTGTATTTACCTTGTATACTTCAGGACATGGTATGTACCTGTATTACCTTGTATACTTTAGGACATGGCATTTACCTTATACACTACAGGACATGATATTTATCCGTATTTACCCTATACACTACATGACATTGTATTTACCTGTATTTACCTTATACACTACATGACATGGTATTTTCCTGTATTACCTTATATACTATAGGACATGGTATTTACCTGTATTACCTTATATACTACAGGAAATTGTATTTACCTGTATTACCTTGTATACTTCAGGACATGGTATTTACCTGTATTACCTTGTATACTTTAGGACATTGTATTTACCTGTATTACCTTGTATACTTTAGGACATGGTATTTACTTGTATTTACCTTGTATACTTCAGGACATTGTATTTACCTGTATTATCTTGTATTCTTCGGGACATTGTATTTTCCTGTATTACCTTGTATTCTTCAGGACATGGTATTTTCCTGTATTTCCTTGTATACTTTAGGACATGGCATTTACTTGTATTTACCTTGTATACCTCAGGACATTGTATTTACCGGGGGTACCTTATATACTATAGGACATGGTATTTAACTGTATTACCTTATATACTTTAGGACATTGTATTTACCTTTATTACCTTATATACTATAGGACATGGTATTTACCTGTATTACCTTGTATACTACAGGAAATTGTATTTACCTGTATTATCTTGTATTCTTCGGGACATTGTATTTACCTGTATTACCTTGTATACTTTAGAACATGGTATGTATTTCAGCTGTGGCATATCACATCTTCATTTGGGCATTTTACATCATTATGTAATTCGTAAGTCCCCCAAGAATTTCGTTCATGCTAATAATACGTATACAGTGCTTCCTTCAAGTCACTTGGCTCGGCCATCTACAAATGATATGCACACCTTGATTTTATTATGCCTAACAGATGGCCGGGTCAAATCTTGAAGAGTAGTTTACATACACCACAGCTGTTATGACCCTTTAGCCCAAAAATTAGTATTAATTGTTTAATAAAATTCATGTGATAATTTTATTCGTAATCTGCCTTCGAGTCTTTTGTTCATAAACTTGTATTTACCTTGTATACTTCAGGACATGGTATTTACCTGTATTACCTTGTATACTACAGGACATGGTATTTACCTAAAGAGCAAGTTAGAGCTAAAGGAGCAGTGTGATAACAAGAAAAAGGAGCTGGATCTCCTGGAACAGAGACTGACAGGGGGGTCTCAAGTCGAGGAAGGTCACCAGAACCCTCGAGGTCATGGGCAAGATCAGGAAGTCAAGGCTGGTGATAATAACAATGCTACTTCACAGGATACACAAAAGGAAGCTACCGTTACAAGTGATGGGACAGAAGCTACAGACAGTTCTACTGCCGTTACTTAGACTGGTGTATAATTAGATACTTACAATGTGTGTTCAATATCCAATGTTATAAACATTGCGGTCGTCCAGACCAACCAGGAAAGATTTTTATATTTGATTGCCAATTATTTACTGGTGTCTGAGTAATATTGTTTTCAACGTCAGACACACAATGCATTGTACATTGTATATGGGAAAGTAAACAGATAGGAAGGAAGTGTTGAGAGAGAAATAGGTGAAAATATAAAAAAAATGGAAGGCTAAATCAAAGTAAGATACTGTAAGTTCACTATGAGCAAGAATTAGCAAAAGGACTGTTTTTAGTAAATGTATATTAGTACAATTAACTAAAATCAAAGCTTCATCAAGACAATTTTACAATGCTTTAGACACCACAAGTACTCAAAGGGATGCTCCCTATATATTGTGAAGAAATGGACAATGAGCTTTGGCCAGGGGCAGATAATCAATTGTTAACAATAAGTAATTATGATGTCATAGATATTATGATGTCATCAATAGTGGACAACATCAGCGGCCATTTTCACTGTTGTCGTTTGTTACGTTACTCGGCGTTATGGAGAATGCGCCGCCTACCAAATATTTTCATTGGTTGAAATTTCATGATCTCTGCCTACAAATATTCATGAGGATGTAGTCCTCTTTCTTGCGAGGAGTAGTCCTTATTTTGCAAGGAGTAGTCATATTTTGGGTAGTGAGTAATTCTCAGATGGAGAGATTTATTAAACACGAGGCAGCTAGTGCTTGGCTTTACTTAACTTGCTTGGATGGAAAGGCCAAGGTTAACTAATGTTTTGTACCACGGCATCTGTTATCTGTCAGTAAACAACTGCTTCAAACAAAAGTATACCTCTTCTAAATCTGTGATAAGAACTTCAGCAAATTTTACTGAAAACATCCTTAGATAGTGGGGATTCAGAATTGTGCAAAGGAGGTCCCGAAAGGGTTATGGGACGGGACCAAAAATGGAGGAATTGGAAAATATTGTTTGAAGTTTAAGAGTATTATCAATTTAAAACGTGGTATTGCCGTTATAACTCTTATGAAATTTTAAGTCTTGCATATAAATTTTACCTTGCAACGCATTCTTTAGAAAAATAGTTGCTCATTGTTGTTCAAAAAACATCTCTTCAGTGAAACTATTCATTGCTTTGGTACCCTATAATGTAAACAACTTCTACTCTGAAAAGATGCAATAAATAAACCGCAACCCTCAATGATGCTCTATGAATGAAAAACCAACGAAAAAACTAAATTGTGTATAAATGTTGATTATTAAGAGAAACACATAGCATCATGCCATGGCCTGAGTATCTGAGCTCCTACTCCTTCCAAGGCCACACCAGGACTGGCTCTATCTGGCACTATCTGGTCAGTTCACATGGTTTTCACATCAAAGGCAGCCCAGGGAATGGTCAGCGTAATAAAATATTGTTATTTGTTCCAGCCACATCCGGACACTGTGGTAACTCAATATCACTAATGTGGGGTGCTGTGTTTTAGGAAGCACTCCTGACCTTGAGCGGTCAGATATACACTGACCAGATATTTGACCTTGGGTAGTCAAACTCCCTATTAATTTCCCCCTGCCTAAGAAAACTTTTACAGTCTAAAAGTTAATGAAAGATAATACTGCTCCAGATACTCGGGCTAGATACCTACAATGTACACAAATACAGCATAATGCTTAATTAACCATTAAGATAAAACACTGATCATGTACGAAGTCCAGTATAGACACAGTTTGTATATCAATTGATCCAGCTACTTATATAGATATTCCTCAGTGGTGGTGGTAAATCCAAAATAAATACTTCCAGGGAAAATAATTTTCCTTATCTTATTTCCCTAACTTGTAAATCCACAATGTTTGCTTATGTAAAAAAAAAAAAAGAATACTTTCACTTTCCATGTCCTTTTTTTATAAGAAACACTTGTCAATCTTTAGAACTGGTACATCTCTTGCACTACATAAAATATTATATTTTACTCTTCACAGTTTATTTACTGTGTAACATGAACTGTTCGTTGTTCATAAACATTCGTGGTTTTCGTGGTTGCTATTGAACCACGAAAATAAATACAACAAATTTGAATGATATACGTGTCTACTATTTGTAAATATAGGATACCCACGAAAGTTTGTTCCACAATACAATCTAAATAGCATCAAACCACAAAGGAAAATATCCACGAACAATTCGTGTTATAAAGTACTACAATGCATAATATCTATTCAACGCACGTTATCTTGGCCACGACGATACTCGATGGTATAAACTACTGGAGAGCAAGAGCCCACCTCAAAAGTTTCTGGTTCTTTTGTTCGGTTCTCTCCAGCCATTTCAACGGGTTGTGGTCAGTTTGAAGGTGAACTTTACCCCACGTGCATAATAGGCAAACGATTCCACACTCCACTTGATGGTTACACATTCCTTCTCTAGTGTAGAATAGTTCTGTTCTCGTTGTAATAACTTCCTGCTGATGTAAGCATTCGGGTGTTCCTCGCTGTTAATAACCTGACTAAGGACAGCTCCAATGGCTACATTGCTGGCATCAGTCTGTATCGTGAACAGTTCACTGAAATCTGGATTCGCGAGTACTGGTGCTTTAGCTTTGGTCATTGCGTCCTTTAGATTATTGAATGCAGCCCTGCTACATCTGTCCAACAAAGTTGTCTTGGATGATCCTTTTAACCATCTTGGTCAAAGGTGCTGCCAACTTAGCGTAATTGTTGACGAAACGACGGTAATATCCCATCATACCAGCGAATGATCTTAACCCTTTTTTCGTTTGGGGGAGAGGAAAGTTCACCTTAGCTTAGACCTTCCGTTTGTCTAGTCTGAGCTTTCCCTTTCCCTCTATGTGCCCTAGACAGTACAGTTCCTCATCACCAAATTGACACTTTGAGGGTTTAACTGTAAGCCCACTGTCTCTAAGTCGGTCCAGGACAGCCTTGACATGTAATAGGTGATCTTACCATGTATCACTATATTCTTTGTCCATCATCCATGCGAATGTCGTAGGTGCTTTTTTCATCCAAAAAGGTATTACCGTAAATTGGTATTGTCCAAATTCTACCACAAATGGGAACTTCTCTTGAGAATCTTGCGATAGAGGTATCTGCCAATATCCTTTTCGCTAAATCCATGGTACTGAGGTATTTTGCTGTGCCTAGCTTCTCAAATATCTCATCTACCCAAGGTATCGGATACCCATCACAAACAGTCACGTCATTGAGGTTTCTATAATCCACACAGAGTCGTGGTATCTTTCTTGTCCACCAAGACGATCGGAGATGAGTAAGGGCTTGATGATGGTGTGATGTAACCAAGCTCCAACATATCATCCAACATTTTTTTCACTTCCTGTTTCTTAGCCTGTGGAATTCTATAAGGCTGCCTTCTGATAGGTTTCTCACATGTTATCCTTAAGCTGTGTGTAACTAATGTAGTCCTACCTGGGTTAGGATTGATGACGTCATTGTAGTCCTCACAAAGCTGACGTACCTACTGACATTGTGATTTGTTCAAAGTCTTGCCAATACACAACTAGGGTCAACCAAATCCTCACGAATCAAAGTTATGGCTGAGCCTGTGTCTTTGATAAAACAGATACGTATCACAGCCATTGACTTCCCCCAGGAACATGGATAAGTCCTACCGTGTACTGACGCACAAAAAATGCTGCAAGTTTTTTCCCATATTTGTTTTTAGGGCATTTCCTAGCAAAATGTTCATACTTGTTACAGTTGTTATACTGCACATTTTTCATCTGTTCCGATGATTTTTCCTTTCTCTGGTCTTTCTACCAGTTTGAAGTTTTTACATCTATCGAGATTTCCAATGATGGAAGATTACTATGAATTACTATGAATTAGAAACTTTCCCATGCATTGCTTCCTTGAAATCCTCTCCGGTATAATAAAATCCTCCGCGGCTTCAACAACACTACTTGACTACTTGTTACAGCGTATCCATCGTGCTTGTGATGCTGGCACTAAAAAAGTAATCTTCCTTAAATATTTCTGTGATATCCCTCGCTGAATCAATAAATCTGACAAGATATTGTTCAATTCTTGCCATGAGTCCTCTGTATGTCTCCTGTGGTTCCTTTTGTGCTGACTGCAGTTGTTTTGTTCCCATACCTTACAATCAGTGCTTTACTGAGTTACTCCAAGGATCCATGCGCTTGTATGGCTACAGCCCTAGCCTCTCCTGTAAGCAATGTTCTCAGATGTAACATTTTAACCTCATCTGTTCACCCTGTTTGTGATGAAAATGCTGCTAACTCTGACAGAAATGTTATAATATCCTCGTTTGCTGTATGATTATACGATTGTAATGTTAGTCTAAATGGCACAGAGTTTGATTTTGTGTCACTGAGTTTATTTTGAATCTTCGCTTTTCAAGTTCTAACTCAAGTACTCTAAGCTTCCTTTGATGGTCACGTTCTTTCTCTTTGGCCTCCATTTTCATTTTTTTCTCTCTCAAGTTCGATCAGTTCTCTTGCACGTGCCTCCGCCCTTTGACGTTCTTTCTCATCGGCTTCCATTTCAACTTTTCACTTTGGATCTTTTCTCTATCCTTTTCTGCTTGAATTTCCAGCCTTTTGATTTCCAGTTTTGATTGAGATGGCATCATCTCAACCTGTTTCTCCGAATCTTCTTCATTGGCCGACATTTTAATATCTTCAAATGAGCGCTATCCTTTGATAATGGAGCCCTCCTCGAATTGATGATCCCAAACCGCTGCCACCAAATATGTTACCCTCAATAATGCTTTATCAATGAATAACTAATGAAACAACTCAATTGCGTATAAATGTTGATTATTAAGAGAAACACATATAACATAGTATGGCCCGAGTTTCTGAGCTCCTACTCCTTCCAAGGCCACACCAGGACAGATTTTATCTGGTCAGTTCACATGGTTTTCACACGAACATCAAAGGCAGCCCAGGGAATGGTCAGCGTTATAAAATACTGTTATTGCTCCAGCCACATCCGGACCCTGTGGTAACTCTATATCAATGGTGTGGGGTGCTGTGTTTTGGGAAGCTCTCCTGACCTAGGGTGGGTCAAACTCCCTATTAACACTAAACCAGTGTTACATGTGTATGTTTATCTATAAATAAATTGGTTCACTTTCACCAGGTCCAGCTTGGTTCCATCCGAGGTCAACAAATGACCCATGTATTTCATTTCGGTTTTTCGCAAGTTTATTTTGTCTTTATTTTACTTCAGGCCAACTTTCCTGGCTCTCTCTAAGACATTTATCAGGTTCCTATCGCGGTCATGTACTGCTTCCTCGATTGTTGAACCACTACCATAGATGAGGATGTCATCTACTGTAACCTCTGCCCCCATCAGGTCCTCTGGTGATTCATATTTTTGTCTCTGAAACTCCTCTGGTGCCGACTTAACGCCAAATGGCATTCACAGACATCTGTAGCGCCCAAAGGGTGTTCAAAAGGTAGTCAGGTAGCTGCTTTGTTTGTCTAATGCCACCTGCCAATAAACCATCTTTGGCGTCCAAGACTGTAAAAACCTTGGCATTGGACAGCTTAGGAAGTATGTCCTCTACAGACTCATGTGATAGTGTGGCCGCAGCAATTGCATCATTCAGGTTCTTAGGATCTATACATATGCACAGTTTTCCTGACAGTTTCCTCACTGCTACCATGCTGCTTATCCACTCCGTCGGCTCAGTGACCTTTGTGATGACACCTCGGTCTACCAGTCTATTTATCTCTGTCTGGAGGTCCACTTTCATGGCTTCATGGACTTTCCCCGGACAGTTCTCTACTAGACTTACTGTTGGGTCAACCTCAACATGATACTCTCCAGGTAGCTTACCCAATCCATCAAATAGGTCCTTGTAGTCCTCTAAGATTTGCTCTTTGATAATGGGTGGTTTCTCATTAGCCACTACGCAGTAAACTTGATTGATTGTTAGAGTCAAAAACTCACTCACCATTAACTCACCGTTGTCGACGTCATACCATTAGTCTTTGACTACTACTGTCGCTTCTACTAATGCTACTGGTACGGACTCCCGGTCTGCACCTCCAGCTCTGTAGCATGCGGGGCTGTATTTTCCTGGGTGATGTTTCCACGCACAGTTCAGTCTTGATTTGAACAAGTTTAATGATGGAGCGTTTATTACGGTGGAGTCTAAATTGTTCCACGGTTCGGTCACACGGTTGGAGAAGGCATTTCCTCTTAGTTTAGTCCTAAATCTTTTCTTGAAAAGTTTTTTGTTGTGTCCTCTGGTGTTGTTAACATTCTGTCCGGCCGCGAAAGTTGTGAATTTATCCATGTTGGCATCTACAAGTCCATTGCATATTTTATAAAGGTTTATCATGTCTGCTCTTTCCCGTCTGTACTCTAAGGAAGGTATTCCTAAAACTCGCAGACCCTCCTTATAGTTTAGGTGTTTGAGATGTGGCAACAACCTGGTGGCACGACGTTGAACATTTTCTAGAGTCTTCTGGTCCATTTTGTACATTGGAAACCAGACTGATGTGCAGTATTCCAAGTGAGGTCTTACTAGAGACTTGTATAGATTTGCGAACATTGCCTCGTCCATGTAGGTAAAAGATTTAAATATCAATCCCACCATTCTGTTGGCCTTCTTCGCTTGCGTGTTGACATGGCCGGTAAATTTTGAGTTGTTATCAAAATCAATCCCCAAGTCCTTTTCGTGCTCCACCTTTGGTCCGATACAGATTGCCCAAGCTTGATGTTCATATATTTTCACTTTTCTAAATTAAGTTTCATTTGCCAAGTCTCAGTCCAGTGGCTTATGTTATTGAGATCATCCTGCATGGAGTCAATGCACTCGGGCGATGTTATATCACCGAAAATGTTCGCGTTGTCTGCAAATAATTTCGCTGTATTGTTTGTCACATCCGGTAGGTCGTTAACATATATTAAAAACAATATCGGTTTCAGAACGCTACCCTGGGGCACTCCACTCGTAAAAAAAAGTCCCAAAGCTTCGCATGCGCCTCTTGACAGTTTTGTTGGTTGGTCAACATCTACCACTTGAAATTCTAAAGTCTGTTGATTGTCTCCAACTGAACACTCAATCCCAGTTTTTACATTTAGGGTAAATGTGTGACTTGTCGTAAAGTGACAGTTTAGTATCCGACAGACTCAGCTTCACCGTTTTCCTTTATTTAAGAGCTTGAATATTATCATGCTGAGCAGGTTACAGGTTGCTCCTGTGTCCAGCTGACATTTCACCTATCTGTTCTTGTTTCCTAATGTCAGCCTCAGTGTTGTGAAGTACTGTCTACCCTTTGTCTTTGTCACATTCAGGAGTGTCTCTGTGATCCTGATTAAAGATTCATCAGTATCGGTATCATCATTCTCCTCTTCAACAGCGTGTATTTTCTTCATTAAACACATTTTTGAGAAATGGTTCTGTTTCTTACAGTTATGACAGGTCTGAACAAATGCTGGGCATTTATCTGGGGCATGCTGACCTCCGCGATATTTGCGTCCTTTGTAACGTTTTCTCTCTCTCCAGCTCTTCTGACCAGAACCCTTACTCTTTATGCTGTGTTTCGCTTTCTTTTTGTACATCTTGTGTTTATCCACCGGATGCACTTTGTCTTCATGGTTCAACTGTTTCATCTGCATGTTGGTCATTTCGCTAGTCCTACACACATTCACCACTTTTGCGAGTGTCAGTTCCGGCTCACGTAGCATGCAGGTTCGGGCCGGTACATCCTTAGTCCCTAGAACTAGTCGATCCTGAAGCATTTCGTCCTGGAGCACAATTAGAGGCAGAACTGAAAGTGAATCTATCTATTTATAGATCAACATACACATGTACTCTTATTCACAATGTTACTTTTAATGTCAAAATGTTTTGCTGTGAATGCTTACATCCAGATTAGAGATACAGTCCCTCTAGGCCTCTTGATTTGATCTCTAGCTATCACTGATAGTGTATTACACATTTATTACACATTTATTACATCGTACATTCATCAAAATAATATATCAATTTCTATGCAATGTACTTATGCTGTGTTTGATGAACATACCACAATTTATGTTCTACTGATATTTTTTTAAAAGCTGAAAGAAATGTACAGTTGTAAAGATTGAGCTTTTGTGCATGAAAATTTGTGTATTTTGACTATTCAAATTACATACATTTGTAATGAGGAATTGTTTCTGTATGTATTGTTGTGGATATATATAAGGTATATAAGGTGTGTCCATATTATATCACATCAATGTGTTTACACTGATATAGTATGCAAGAAATTGACAAAAACAAAATTCCAAAGCATGAAATCATCTTTTTTTCTGTTGTAATAAATATTTAAAAGATATCTAAATATCAGTAATAAACTTATTCAACTATCATCTACCGGGGTACAGCAATTAATTTCAGCTATTCAAATGCCTAGGAAATGCTTCAATCCGTTTTCTTGAAGTACTTTGTGTGTGAAGACAATTTCGTATTTGATTAAGATACATGCAAATTTTATTATTTTTCTTTGTACAACTTTAAAGCTTCGTCAAATCACTGTGATGACTTAATTTCCAATAAACTCTATATTGATTTATTCTGTTGTTTGTCTTACTACTTTATAAAGTTTTTGTGTCTGCACATAAGTCCATTTATCACATGATGTACTGTGTTTTCCAGTTAATATACCCATGTTATATTTTTTGCGTATTAACCCATGTAATATGACCTATCAGCCCTGTGATTGGTTATAAGTTTCAATTGTTTCAATTGTGACGTCACACCTAGGACAAGTACATGACGTCACCAACGTACGCACTGAAGTCAAAATGGCGACTTTTTACATTTCAAGGTTGCATGAAAATTGCCGTTTTACACGAATAAATGCCACAAATAAATGCCACAAGTTTTGAAATTGTGAGGCTCGCTAAATTGAAAAATTCTTAGACTCGTTTCATAAATCTCATATGAAATGGAAAGTCGTGTAAGATTCTATATATATTGTATGGCTGGAGATGTTCTCACACTTGAGATTTCACAGACATGACATTGTATTTAATGGATGATTACCAAAGTTTCTATCACTTGTTCACCAACATGGCAGAAAGAGAAAGGAATGAGGAAAGGAAATGGATCTCAAGCAAACAAGTTTGCAAGTCTACTTGACTAACATTTTCTGAAATTTTCTTAACATTTATTGAGTCACTAAACTTGCTAGAAGTGCATGTAATCGCCAATACACAAAAGAAAATATAAAAAGGCTGCAGACATTGCGAGATAAGTTAAGGTCAGGTCACTATTACAAAGTCATCTTAAAGATCTCTGGGACATTCAATTTCTATCTAACTATCAAATGGCACATCACAAATATTGTTATACTTGTTAACTATAACTTAATCGATAAATATTTATAGATAATAAATAAATGAATAAATAATAAAAAACTGAAGACTGTAGAATCAAAGGTCAAGTTTGCGAGGACAGTTTTTGGTTAACATTTGCAACATCAACTACTACAGTTACATACCAGGCCATTAGACAAAGTAGGAAAGCCACAGAGGCTGAAAGTCAATGGTTTGCTTTCGTTTGTTTGTATTTTACGTCCTATTAACAGCTTTGGTCATTTAAGGATGTGCCAGGTTTTGGTGGTGGAGGAAAGCCGGGGTTCCCAGGGGAAAAACCACCGACCAACGGCCAGTACCTAGCAACTACTCCACGTAGGCCTCGAACCCGTGTCCCAGTGGTGGAGGGCTAGTGGTAGCAGAATGCCAGACACCTTAACCACTTGGCCACCACGGCCCCTCTCTGAAAGTCAATGGTCAACATGACAAAGTCGTTGAAGTTTATTGAAATGTCAATTCTTATAAAGGCTAATTGAGATACCACAAACTAAAACAATATATAACACCATTAGGTGACTGATTGCACAGCTGTACTCTTACCTTGTATGCATGAATACATTAAAAAACATCTAATCTTGAAAAGTTTATTAGAAACAAGAACTGCATCGACCGTTTTTGACCTTAGATATGACATTAACATTGGGGTAAAGGGCGGGATCTGGGGAATGTCTCTATCATGGTCTTTTCTCTCAAGCTGGCTCTCCAAGCTCACGGCACCATGCTCCATTTTCTTTTGACTTGAAGATTCAAGGTCAGGGTTTACCTCGTGGAGTTTTGGGGTGTTGTGCAGAGGGTGTCGAATGTCTCTTCATGATTGTAGTTTATGAAGGGACAACAAATCTTTGTTGCTAATAGCGTTTGGCAAAGTATATGAAGGGTTCTTTGTAGGCAAATGAAGAAGGTCTACAACTTCTTTGTAATTTCATTGGTTGTCTCCACGTCTATGATCCATACATAAAAAGTTGCTTGAAGTTGCAGTTGAAAATCCTGACAATGGTCTTTAAAGATCCCGATACTCTCCAACTGCTACATCATATGATGTGTACGTGGCTGCATGCTCTAAACGTCCGTTAATGCACCAAACTTCACTACGTCGTGATAACACCGGAGTTGACATAGTTCCTACAGTTCATCGGTCACTCAGACTGTGGATTATATATTTTACAACAATCATAGTCTAGTAAGCGTTTCACAGAACGACACATGTTCTCCGAATTCCTAATTCTCATATCAGGTATACGTACCGTACGAGGAGAAGAACAGGCTTACCCCAACAGTATATCTGATTTCATCTCCAGGTTCGCAGAGGTCAATGTTTATTCTGTCATGATGTATTACCGTAAAGTGCTTTGATTTCGCTGTATCAAAATTTTGCGTTTTCATACCTAGAGCAGAATTAGCGCTTCATGATTCACCCGTGTCAGAATTTATACAGGAGAGAAAAATACTGTTAAAGTTTCCAAATTTCAAGTGTTTGGAATTGTTTTTATAACTATGATATTGATATAACGGTTATTCCTAAATAATCAACCAAATAAACTACTTAGAAACATTACTCAAAAGACCAATTACACCGCACTTAATATTACTGTAGACCGCTTAATACGTACTTTACTCAACAGCTTTCAATATGGTCAGTTATATGCCATTTTAGATATCGTTCTCTTTATACAGCACTCTTTAGCTTGAAGTATATTATCATTATTTAATAATATGTATATATCTTGCAGTTTATCTTGTAATTTAATTTCTACTTCGTTTACTTTGGAAAAGAAACGTTTCGTAGCTGTTTATGGCTTCTAGAGCTATGTTTCAACAGCTCTGCATACATGTTGTTTTTAGTGTGCTGTAAGTGCTTGATTTTAAGACTATCAGGGGCGTTTCTAGGATATTTGAAAGAGGGGGCGTAGAATCAATCTGTCGCCGAGCGGAGCGAGACGAAAACATTTTTGGACCTTTTTTTTGTTTGTTAAAAAACATAAAATAATTGTGAAATGCACTAATGTAACGGTTCCTGACTTGGAGCATGTATATTTTATAGTTAAAGTGACGGGTGTTTATGTGTTTAATTAATGAATATGATAAATTGCCATATTCAATACAATATAATAGCAGATTACGATAGTTTTTTTGTTGATGTTTTTTTTAAAAGGGGGGGGGGGGAACGCCCATTACGCCCTCACCTGGACCCGCCCCTGACTATTAATAATAATAGCATCAGTTTTGCAGTGCTAATGTGCTAATATATATAGTGTATGTGTGCGGTTAATTAGTATGTAACATTTGATATAGCGCCCTATGTAGCTAGAATAAGCCACTCTAAAGCACTTTACAGTACATAGATATACAATTTATACAATCAATAAAATTTACATTATACATTAATCATTATTCTGAGCTATTCTTGAACATTTGTTCAGATCTTACAATTTCCATGTATGCTACTAGGCCTAAAACATCTAACTGGTTAATGATGTAATGGCTAACATATCGCACTTAAATTTCGCGCCAAAAAACTTACAATATCGTAAGGGTGGTAAAACTACAATATCAAGATAAAAAAAACCTATCCTTTAAGCAAATGGAAGGTGTTATTTTGTCTTCGAAATGAACTTGGTGAAACCTTTTTCAACAGCCCAATTTTTTTTTATTGTTTACGACATTACTTAGTTTACGGCATTTTTTCGGAACTTTCGAGACTTACCATGCTGAAGATAGTACGACGAGAGGAAATCCGATAAAGCTTTAAGTTTTGTTGATTCACTTTGACAGAGCATTATGGCATCATAATTATTACCGGTTTCATCTAGAAGATTCACCAAACATTCGATATAAAACCCGACAAGATACAACATTGAATATATGACTAGGCATCAGACAGGATGACAGAAGAAGCAGCATGGCCCGTCAAGCTTTATGTTTACGACATCAGCAAAGGAATGGCGAGGTCTCTCTCAGCGGCATTCTTAGGTAAACATTCTTCAATGGTTTGATTTCACAGAGTAATACAGCTTATTAGCTGCACTGTAATAATTGTTTGGTTTAATAGTATAATATTCATTGTTTATTTGTGAATATGTGAAACGTGCAAGTCATCGTCAAAATCTTTTCCATTAACGCAACAAAATACACCATGACTACAAACTCCACAACCACTTACACCAAGTAGAATCCAGCAAATACTTAGGCTTAACATTACAAAATAACCTACGATGGGACAAACATATTAACAGCATCACAGCCAATAGGTCCCTAGGTTTTCTAAAACGCAACTTAAAAATAAACTCACGCTGACACATATAAAAGAATACACATACATTTAGCACTAGTCAGGCCAAAACTTGAATACTGCTCTTCCATTTTGAATCCACACAACACATACCAAATTAAACAAATAGAAAAACACAATGAAGAGCAGCACGCTACGTAAACAACAGATACCATAACACTAGCTCCGTAACAGATATGATCCATAAACTACAATGGCCAACACTACAAACACGGCGCTGTCACACAAGAATTATCCTTTTTCACAAAATTGTACACCAAATCGTAGCTATATAAACCCAACACATATACTCACACTCGTAGACCTTCGAACCGGACATGTACACCCTCACGCATGCAAACACATATCTGCTACAAAGGACACCTACAAATTGTCATCCTTTCCACACACAATAACGCAATGGAATCTCCTTCCCATAGCAGCAGTACAATGCACAACACTAGAGGACTTCAAGGCACACTTTTCCTACTTTTATCTGCACAAAAAATCTCAAAAAAAAACCCAACTAATCACTGTAAATAACCCCATTTTTCACGCCTCTGCAATAGGACCCCCGAGGGCATAAACATCAACATTGATGGAGCCCCCGTAAAATAAAGAAGATCTCTGGTAACTTAAACAGGTCCAGTACACTCTGCTGATTGAGCTTTTTGTAGTCAACATTACCATAAACCTTACTGTTTTATGCGACTTTGCTTTAATTTAATGAAAATTGAAATCTGAGAAAATATAGTTCCAACAGCTATAATGTATAGGTGAACACAATAACTATTAAAATTGTCTAATTCAATATGAAATACATGTATAGATGACAAAATAAGCCTCTGTCATAATGTAACGGCCAGACCGGGGTTCGAACCCGAGACCCTCTGAACTCTAGACGGATGCTCTACCAATTGAGCTACCTGGTCGCTGGTGATCGACCCAGTCCAGTTCCGCTACATGCCTCCCTCCTTTTTCTAAGACTTCGATCCCGAAAATACAACTGTTTTCAACCCAAGTTCGGGCATATAGTATCCCCTTGCTAAGCGTACTCCCAATGCTTGAAACAAGGGTTGGCTAACTCGCCAATTTTGTAACAGGAGAAAGAGAAAATGTAATAACCAGACTGGGGTTCCTACCTGGACCCTCTAAACTCAAGACAGACGCTCCACCGATGATAGACCCAGTCTAGTTCCGCTTCAGTTCCAAAAGACTTTTAAAATTATCATGAAATTGAGAGAGAGAGAAAAGCAGTCATTCAACTTAATAGCTTCAGCAGAATGACCTTTTAAAAGTGTAGTCCATGGAGATACGACCTTTTAATGGGAGATCCACTGTCTCAACCATTGAGTCAGGCTGGGAATGTAACATTAACCCACTACCCTCATTGGAATGGAAAGTCCTTTCTTAAAATTATGCTGTAGTATTTGACCTGCTAAAGATTTACTAATAGTTTTGGAAGGCATCATCTCTTTACCATGGATAGGTAAACAAGAACTGGTTACTTTTGGGGCAGGGAAGAACTGTACTGATTGTACAATATAGCCCAGCTTCAGACCTCGCAGGGTCAGAAATTGGGATGACTCTTGTCTTGACTGGACCAAGAAGTATGATGTATTGTGATCCGACTTTGACATGTTATATTTTAAGGTTAAAGTGTTTGTGATGCAGGTTTAGGATTGGTAGCTAAACTATATGGCTATCAAAATTAATCTGGCTCAGTGTTGTAAGAATATTATGTCATAGCCTTAAATATATCCAACATAAAGTTGTAGAACACTCCAAATATCAACAACCTTTAATTAATATTGTAGCTCTAGCAATTCTGATAATTAGGCATGACCACTATCTCGGTTGATATCTTGATGAAATAAAAGATGGTTTCATTTTAGGGCGCATGTAATCTTGACTCCTTAGGCATATTAATTGCTATACTTTAATTAGCACTTAGCTTCAGTTAAATATAATGAAACAGCTGATTTTTTTTTCCTTTGTTCAATTTCATTTTGGTATTTTCAATTTTCAACATTTTGATAGGTAAACAAATTGATGGAATATGGCACACAGGGATAGTAGTGTATGGCCAGGAGTTCTATTACGGTGGCACAGGAGGAATAGAAGCTTGCCCACCTGTAAGTACACCAAGGACATTTTAATTTCGCCATGTATACACAATATCAGTGACGTCACAATTTTAATTCCAAAGTTTATATAAATCAATAACACATCAGAATCAAGTATACAGTGTTAAAATCTATAGGTAATAGTTAAAGTAGTGCTGTTATTATTGTGCTCAATGAAAATATACTGAACTTTGTGCAGCTGTATTTTCCCATTCTGAAAGGTAGTGGTTTCTGTTAAGCAAGTTAAGAATAAAATCATTATCAATATCATAATTATCATTTAAATGTATGCCAGGTAATTCTTCAAAAGGTCACATGACCGATGTACGTGGCAGACAGTCTTATGACTTGTAAAGACATCAGTCTCATACCAGTGATGTATCCTGTAATTAATATTATCTGAAATACGTATGAAATAGGTTTTTTTCCTTATGGAAAGTGACATTGATTGCTCTTGACTTCTTATTCTTGTCAGTGTGGAACAATCCTTGGACAGCCAGACACAGTAGAGGACTTGGGAATGACACAGATCCCATATGACATGTTCCTTGGCTACCTCACAGAGCAGGCACAGGCTGCCTTTAGGTAAACAAACAATGTTAACAATGTTATTTTAGCGCACCCTATTGATATAACATGTATATTACCTATGACATCACAAGAGTTCATGAATAAAAGCGATGCTGTACGTTTATATAGACAAAGTAGAAGGGCAAGGGCTTGTAGATTTGTTCTACAGACAAGTTCAAATGTATGTGTACTTGTCCAATGGACCAGTGCAAAAGTTTCTGATGAATATTACTTCATGTATAGCATACTGTTTATTGTTTAATTACTTGTCAAACAAATATTTGAAAAAAAAAGATCACTGTGCTTGTAATATGGAGTTGTATTCTAAGAGATGTACCTGTATTAGCTCACTTGGGCTGAAGTCATAAATGTAAGATTTGTTTTAACCTTACAAGTGGGCCTATTGTATAAACATTTTTGGATAAGTAAATTTATCCTCCAGACAAGACCCATGTTTTTCGAACTTTTGTTCCACTTGCCCTGAGTAGTAAATGCCCTCTGGAAGTACATGTAATATTCACGATAAATGTTGAATCTGTAAGCTACGATGCTAAATATCTACAAATTGCACCTTGTGTTTTCCTTTGCCAGACCATCTTGTTACCATCTCCTGGAACATAACTGTAACACATTCAGCTCAGAGGTGGCTCAGTTTTTGACTGGAAAGGACATACCCTCAAACATCACAGGACTTCCGGCAGAAGTGCTCAGCACGTATGTTTATTTACAATAACTTATGGTTAAACCTTCATATTGATTTCATTTTACAGGGGTTCAAAAGTAGCACCCTTTAAACCTACTTTTTGTAGTGGAATTTAAGTTTAAATTTAGATTTTAAGCGTTTGACAGCATTGGAGCTGTTGTAGGTGTGGAATGTATCTGCACTCAAACTTTGGGAAAACATAGCAACAACTGTTTTGTAAACTTATTTCATAAAAATACTGCTATTGAATCTGATGGTATGCATATATGCAATTATAGCTGCGTTAAATTAAAAGGCAGTTAACAGACTGCAGTTAAATTGGAATTTTAGTCTAGTATTGTATGTTAATCTAGGTGTTTAAATATCTTTCTTGTGAAATATTTCACAGGCCGTTTGGACAGATGATCAAACCCTGGGTTGATGCGATGTCAGTCCAACCAAGTGGTGGACATTCCATATTCCCTTCACAGGAGGTGGAATCCTCCAGCTCTGGGGCAAGTGCAGGAGGAGCTGAAAGTGCTGGGGAGGATTCTTCAGAATCTGCTGGCGGTAAAAAAGGGCCAGCGGCCTGGGAAAATGTGATGGCTGCAGACTGGAAGGAGCCCGTAGACGAAGAGGATGCTGTAGAAGATGCAGTGATTTTCACAGAGGTATGTAAAAAAAACTACCTGTATTACCAATAAATTTTAATCCAAACATAAAAATGTACATGTACCATCCATGTTCTGACTTATAAAACTGCATAGGTTTGATAATACATCAATATCAACATGCCATTCCGTTTGGTGTTGTGGAATACTTTATAGTACTAGTAAATTAAAATTCCAAATTTAAGTATCATCGTTAAATTAATTATTTAATTAACAGAATTCAGTTTATATTTTTTAGATGCATTTAAATTTTTGCAAGTGATGAGTTAAACTTGACAGGCATGAAGTGCTTTTATTGTCATTGTCATTATTATTATTTTTTAATAACCTATTTTAAAGTATGCCTTTTAGGGTTGTTATATGTGCCTTGAAAATTGCTTGCTTAAGTGTTATCAGATTTGTTCAAATATATTACCTTGACCCATATTCAAGGTCAAGGAAAAACTTAGCCCATTATAATAAAAACTAAATATTTTTCAGTCACCACCAGACCGCAAAGACTTGAAGGACCATACTCATGATGAGTTACAAATGAAAGATCTTGGACTTCTTAGTGACATTTATGACTATCTTGCTGAGGGTAAAAAACCCTCTTGGTCTTTGGGAAAGGAGCATGTTCAGACTTTACATACAATTATAGGAAATGGCAAAATCCATGATTCGTCGCGGGCAGGTGTTTGTACACTCCTCCAGGCTTTAGTGCTTCGGGACGACTTTATCAGCCTCCTCGAGCGGGAACCAACACAACTCATATTGAAAGTAATGCAACATTTCGAACAACTATCTGAATCTGTACAGGAGGCCTTCGTCAAATTGGTAAGATATACAATCAATCAATCAATTNTAAGTTTGGTACCGAATTCTAAAATGTCAACAATGTTGTATTTATTCCCAAGTTTAAGTACACGGGATTCCCACGAGTAACGTCTTCGTTTAGACCACACATGTATTTTGTTTAAAAGCCGATTAGGGTCCGCAGATCCGACACGACAGTATAGTTTAAAAACTTCAGTCCTCTGTTTACTGTATACAAGACCTGTACAAGGTCATATACCTAATGGCTCTATTTTTTCACCTGTGATTGTTAATAAGAAAACGGATATGTATAATTTTTGCCTTTGCCTAAAAAGGTTACATCTTCAGTTCAGTGATTGTTTTACATGGATATTGCCTAGTACACAGATAGTGATAAATCTTGTGAATAATAATAACAATAATTTGAGGTTCTTATATACCGCTTTATCACACCCTAGTACTGAGTGGTCTCAAAGCGGTTCACAAATTATTATCCGTGGTTATAGGGCCTTTGCAACCAGCCAATATCTTTCTCAACTCCCTGGATGAATGGAATTAACAACAAATGTGCGACGTTGACTCGCTCCATAAGATTTCCTAACAAGGCCAAACAAAAAAGATTTTGTTTCTGGTAACCCTACCTACCCTAATTTTTTGTGCCTACCCTAATTTTTTTTAGGCAACTTTCATAGAAACACTGTTCAAGTCAAGGTCACCCTATATAAACCACGTAAGATAGTTTTATTTTTTTTTTTTTTTTACCTACATGTATCTACCCTTAATTTTTCAAATATTTTTCAGTAAACACACTTCTGTTGTCTGACCCAAGTTTCCATTGAAAGTTTATGTTACCTTTGAAGTTTATAAGACAATTTGTTGTTTTACGTTTGAATGTTTAATATAGAAATGTAATGAGCAAGTTGAAAACTCGACCAATGGTATTCAAGGAGATGCACACTTTATGCCGTTTGTTTCACTTTGTGTTGTTCTGTTTCAGCTCACCAACTGTAGCAGTTCTAGGAAAGGTCATACATTCCTAGTATCCAATCCTGACCCGGAATGTAACATGTTAAAGTGGACCATTCAGACCTGTGTTTCATGTTTACTGAAGGACAAAACTGTTATGCATACAAATGCCTCGGCCCTAGCACTTAACCTTAGTAGATTCCAGGTGTGTATTTCACTCTTTCTGTACCTGAAGTTCATTTTATTGTGAATCCCAGGAATTGTTTTATTGGTGCCATATGGTGTGTGCTGGTATCAGAAAGCTGGTTTTGTTGACATTGTGGCATATGATGTCTTTGGTGCTGAATGATGTGAATAAAGGTTATACTCGCTTATAACAAAGTTTTCAAAAAATTAAGGCAGATTCATTGATTGGGTTTAACGTCCTATCAAAAACCAAGGACTTTTAAGGATGTGGAATTTCATTGATTTTTCTCATTAAAACCTCATCAAAATATTCATTAAAAGAATTATTTGTTAATTTCTTTGAAAGTATGCTTTACACCAGAATTAGTTTAGCATCTCTGCAAGTTTTTTACCGCATATACCTTACGTTGGTTTGAATGAATAAATATCCTAGCAAACTCTCCAATTAAATGAATACATATTATTTAGTATTTACCATTTCAATCTTTGTAGTTGGTAGAAGACACTCAAGTAGAAATTGGCAGTGCAGTTTTGGAGTGCTTACAGAAAGAATTAAGTGAGGAAACAGGTATGGAAAATTACAGTGATCTGTATTATAATGTAGTGGTAAGGTGTATAGAGTACAACATTTTTTTTAATAAATATTCTACATTGTTCTGATGTTTTTACATCATTACATCATATTCAGAAATGTATCCTCAGAATTTCAAACAAGAGGCCCAAGGGCCTTAGCGGTCACCTGAGTTATATCATAGGTACTGGTAGCTTTATTTTATTGTTTAGATGTGATGTAGAAATCAGCATGTAAACTAAGTGAAATACAATACTTGTCATGTCATCAAAGGATAAGAATTTGAAAATATTGGTAAATGTTCCCTTTGGGGCCCAGCCCTAGCCCCTGGGGATGGGGCAGGAATCCCCATTTTACAAAGTAATACTCTCATTCACCAAAGATGATTCTGACGAAGTTTGAGTAATTTTCTGCTGAAAATGGATAAAATATATACCCAAAAGTGTTATTTCCCTATATATATATAAACTATAGTAAACTTAACCCCCTTCCCAAGGGAGAACAGATAGCTCGGGGGCCCTGAAAGTTACAATTTAAGTAAAGCCCCTGATGATCTTTCTTTTCATCTAGAGAAAATCACTGTAGTACCTGTGAGTCTGGAGAAGAAGATTTTTGAAATATTGGTTAATTTTCTCATTGGGGGCCCGCCCTGGCCCCAGGGGTTGGGGTAGGAATCTCAATTTTACAATTTGAAACCATCTTCCTCCAAGGATAATTCTCACCAAGTGAAAATAATTTCCTACAATAGTTGTCAAAATATACCCTAAAGTGTTATTTCCCTATATAAACTATAGTAAACTTTACCCCCTCCCCAAGGGAGAACAAATAGCTGGGTGGTCCTGAAATTTACAATTTAAGTAAAGCCCCTGATGATCTTTCTTTCCATGCAGAGAAAATGACTGTAGTACCTCTGAGTCAGAAGAAGAAGATTTTTGAAATATTGGTTAATTTTCCCTTTGGGGCCCCGCCCTGACCCCAGGGGTTGGAGTAGGAATCTCAATTTTACAATTTTGTAGCCTCATCTACCAAGGATGATTCTGACCAAGTTTGAAAAAAATCCATCCACTGGTTCTTGAAAAGAAGTTAAAAATGTAAAAAGTTTACGCACGACAGATGACGACGGACAGAAAGCGATTAGAATAGGTCACTTGAGCAAAGCTCAGGTGACTTAAAAATCAAATGGTTCTTTTACAACATGTATGTAATCGGTGAAATTTATTTTCCCTTAATAATATTAACATTATCACATGTAGACTTACCCAGAAAAGTCTGAAGATACCATGGAAATGTGTTATGGATGAAAAAAATTATGCTTAAAGATTCTGACATAATTTTGGTGATGTTTTCTATCTATTTTCAGTATATAACCTTATGCAATGTTTGCTACAAATGATGAACAAAAACACAGAGGTGAGTACTGAAACACTGTATGTAACTTGTCAAACATACACACCAGATGTACAATGACTCGACTCATAAATTTTGTAGTATCTGTACTAGTTTCCATTTCATATGAGAGGGTTTCAAGACTTTTCCAAACAAATTTCTTTTTATTTCAGTTAAAATCACTTGCAATTGATTGTGTAATTAGATGTTTTTGATAAGACTTGTAATATACAGTGCATCTTGAATACTTTAGATTATGTACATTTTAAATAATGTCCATCTAAAAGCAATTATTGCATTTTAAAGTATGATGAAATAATTTTTGATCCATAGAATAAAACGTACAAGCTAATGAAGAAACTTAAGATTAAGCTTGTGAATAAGTATGGGAAGGTCACTTCGTGAAATTAAGTGTGCTTTAATTATACTTTGTCCAATATACAGCAACAAAGTCAAGTAAATATGTCATATTTTATTGATTCAAAGTATGTTAAATTTATAAGAAAAGCAAAGAAAAAAGTGAAATATTTTACAATAGCTTTTGATAAATAAAATAAAAAGTTTGAATTGGTCAAATGAAACACCTGCTCTCTCTCATTGATGTATGTATATTTTTCAGCTGTGCGACCTAGCAAGTGTAGTTGGCCTGAATTGCTCACAGCACCAGAAATTGTCGGCTCGAGTCAGGAGACTTTGTGACAAAGCACAGGAACTTAGTGCATTATGATCAAAATTGACTTACCACCAAACAGGAGCAACAGATGACCAATACTAAGACTGATACTACTCATTGACCGTAGAGTGACCAGTGGATTTTTACCCTTGGTCATATATGCGAATAAAGACTGAAGGGACAAATAAATACATGTTTTTAAATAAATGCTTCATTACTAGGAAAAACATCACAAAGTGCAATCAGGATTAATGTCTTCATTTCGGAAGACACAGACAGTAGAAACCAGGACAAAGTATAAATACATACAACATCCTTTTGTGGGTATTACTTGTGTCAACTTAAAATTTCCATCAACCTGACCAACAGCTATATAGAATGTGTGATATGTATATGGAGATGCACTATAGAACTGTTATTTGATTGTACCAGATATTGTTTTCCATTTGCACCGATTATTAATCACAGGTCCTACATATAGTTCTGTAAACAGGAAAAGATTTACGACAGTTAATGTTTTATGTACCAGGTACATTAACCCTTACATCTCTATGTAACTCGAGTAGACTCTACCATGCATTGATCTGGATTTGTCCATTAGGGTCTATAGTGGTGAAAGGGTTAAATCCAATGTACAGTGTATTGACATAATCCCAAACTTGTAACAGTTAAAGCTAACTGCAGACACTGTTTCCCTCTGTGTTTTTTTTGCCTGGTTATGTTTTGGTTTTAGATATTTTATGAATTAGCTATTTTATTACCAACCAAGCAATCTACAGCTAAAATATATGTCGGTGATGAAATAATATTAAATGTGTCGTATTGCACAGTTGTAATCCTGTTTGAATGGCACTCTTCAACTGTGAAATCGTATTTTGTATAAAGATGTCCACCTGCTTAATATAATTAAGCTACTTTTTCCAATGAATTTTATAAATTTTCTTCAAATGAACAATGATTGTGGAAGACTTTACTTGTTGAAATGTAAGTTTGTTTTAATATATATCAATGGTGTTGTATGTGTACGATTCTGAGGTTTAGATTTGTTTGTTTCCGTAGAACCTTGTACTATATCATACATGTTCTTCAACCGTTTAGAACCATTTCCAAAGAATAAATGTTGACAGTATTTAAATGTTTGTGAATCTATTTAGGACAAGATAATTTATTTTTTGCATGTCTTTTTACTGGCAGAATAAATAAATGATAAAATTTCACCGTTTATTTACGAACCTAAAGGCAGAGAATTTGTCTGTGGTTATAAATCATCCTTACCAAATTATACTTGGTGTTTTTATATCTCAAGCTAACTATGTGCTGTAAAATCATCATTTTTGTTAATTTTGTGTTTACTCAATCAGCATACAAGTATGAATATATTGAAATATTGTTTTCTTTATTACTTATTTTCAATAAAAGGGGGCAGCGGTGGTTAAGGCGTTTGACGTTCTGGTACCACTCGCCCTTCTCCACTGGGTCGCTGGTTCGAGACCTACTTTGGGCAGTCGCCAGGTACTGCCCGTAGGTCAGTGGTTTTTCTTTGGAACTCCGGCTTCCCTCCACCACCAAAACCTTGCACTTCCTTAAATAACCATAGCTGCTTATAGGACGTAAAACACAAACCAAAACCAAACTATTAGGGCACATGTGATAACATCATTGACCCTGATACTAATATTGAAACATTAATTATTTATTTCTTATTCAAAATTAGAAAATATTTGCCAAAAGCATAATTTCTTAATTAAAAGACTTATGTACCGAGTATTCAATAGAATTACCTGTTTTTGTTGTTACAACCTGCTGATTGTATTTTATTGTGTTATATTTCGCCTAATGGAAGGTTGTAAAAGCCACTTGACATTTGTCAGACATAGCTGTGATAGTCATGTTCACTTCGTAATTTAATTAAAATCATTTCACATCCAAATATTGAGGCTTATGTTGTACCAGAAGTGATGGCACCCTTTTTTGTAGGGTATATTTCACATGCATCTCTCAATAAATTATTTAATCAAACATTCCAGTCTTGTATCCTTATTTGTCCTTATTGAATTGCTTCTGTGTCATCATTAGGACAAGTTTAGTATACAGTTACCACGTACCTAAGTACAGAAATTTGTTTGTTTGTTTGTTTATGTTTAACGGCCCATCGACGGCTGTGGTCATTTAGGGCCATGGTGATTTATTTATTCACTTTACTTTTTTAACAAACATGTGAATAGCGAAGATAAAATCAGATAAAATGGTTCATTTTAAAAGTATTCGCATTGTATGTGTAGATAATTAAAAATAATAAAAGGGGGTTAAAATAATAAAAGAGATAACGAATAGATGATATGGAATATGCGATATATATATAACGTCAAAAAGGATAAGGTGGGTTAAAAGACATCAGAGTCTATAAAATAGACCGATGTCTTTCAAATAGTTAAATAATGCCTTCGAATCCACGGAACTGAAAAGTGTTTTCATATCCGGGACTCGGAAGTAGTTATCACGAATGTGTTTAAAATCGGAACATTCTATTAAAAAATGTTCCACTGTAAATGGAGTGTCACATGCGTGGCATGAAGGTATATCTTCTCGTTTTAAAAGGTACGAATGAGTAGGATATGTGTGCCCAGTGCGGAGCCGAGCGAGGACAACTTCCTCTCTACGATCTTTCCGACTGGGAATAGATGTTTTAAGTTTCGGTTGTATCTTATAAAGTTTGTTGGTGGTCTCCAGAGACCAGCATTTCTGCCATTCAGTTTGAATGGCTGTATGAATAGAAGGTTTAAAATCTGTGTATGGTAGTTTGATATTTGTTTGTTTGAGATTCAATGCATTTTTTGCTTCCCTGTCAGCAAATTTGTTGCCTTTTATTCCGACATGGATCGGAATCCATAGTAAAGTTATTTTTAGACTTTTTAGGTCACCTGAGCTTTGCTCAAGTGACCGGGTCGTCCGTCGTGCGTAAACTTTTACATTTTCAACTTCTTCTCAAGAACCAGTGGATGGATTTTTTTCAAACTTGGTCAGAATCATCCTTGGTAGATGAGGCTTCAAAATTGTAAAATTGGGATTCCTACCCCAACCCCTGGGGCCAGGGCGGGGCCCCAAAGGGAAAATTA